CTAGAAGGGGATGCGCGACAATGGTGTACGTACCGAAGCAAGGGTACTGCTCTTCTGGAGTACATCTGTCATATGGAGAGCTTCCAGCATGCGCTGCAACGTAGCACGATGGCAGGCTACGGTAGAGTTGAGGCTGTGTCAGCAAGTGAATCTATCATCAGACCGTTGCGTCGAGTATCAGCCATTGGCGAACGGAAGGCCAACGGTGGAGTCGAAACCTCCCTATCAGCCGTTCACTGCCAAGCTGCCCCCGAAGAGAGGCAATCACAAATGTGCTGGGCAGCGAATAGGAAATTAAGCCATGGCAGTGTTTACCCCCTTCCACGCATAACTAGTCTATTATCTCTGCAAGGTCGACTGCCATTTCCAAGGCCGTACCTGGGCAGGACGGAGGCGGGTCTGGAATGACCCGGACACTGACGCTATCGATTCTGGGGCTGTGAATGCCAGCAACTTCCAGAAAACGGTAAAGAGCGGGAACTGACAGCATCATCCGGGGACTCGGCCCTCAGGTGGCACAAGGAACGCCACATCTGACGGTTTTGCAGCAAGCAAGGCCGCACAACTCGAGATTTCAGGAATCTGAAAAGAACTACTAAGATGGATAAGCAAGACTTTGATTAGAGCCTTTAGGTAAACAAACAAAGGCCCACGAAGGCGGTAGGACCCACTCGCAACGTGCGGGGCAGCTACTAGACTGGAAGAGGTGGCAGCCACAGCATCAGATTAACCTTGGATTTACTATCTGCCTACGCAAGCTCGCATCAATGCTGACGAGTCGTTGTGGCTGCTCGACACGGAAACCGAAGTGTGTATGATGCCCTAAGCTACAAGGAGGAGCCGCAATATTCCAGTCCACTCAGGCCATCTGCAGACGGTGGACAGGGTCTTCAAGTCGGCAAGACTACGAGCGGGGAGAAAGAGATTTATTCAGGTACGGGCCACCTGGCTGAGATTTCACGTTGGACTGGTTTAACACGAGATAATCCTAGGCATGCACTAGGTGCCCGTGTGCATAGCGAGCATCTGCCTTCCATTATTGAGGTGCAGGTGCCAGGACTCTATGGTACAGTGCACGTGCTACCGATCGCAACTGATTTTGCTTCCTCTTGGCGTGGTGGATCTGATGTAGTGTCCCAAGTTTAAAAGACTGAAGGTGGGTCCTGCACAGAGGGCAGGCGTTGCGTGGATTGACAGACATATACGCTCACGCCGCTGTGGTGGCCTTATGAAGACACCATAGACACAACTTCAGAGGATGTTTGGCCCAGTTAAAGGCCGACGAAGAACCGTGAAAAGGTGAAAAAAGTTGAAAGAAGAGTTCTCAGACATGGTAGACGAATAGTCGCTAGACGACCAATGCAGCATAGAAATCACTGAGCTTGCTTCCGCTGCTCCAGCGCTTGCTGATCCAACTCCATATGTCTTTTTACACGTTTGCAATCTCGAACTAGGCTGCCTTGTTGTCTGCAAAATGGATGAGTTCGCCTTATAGTACGTCACCTGTATTCTCGATTTTCGCTTCTCTCCTTTTCTGGATGGGTTGGTATTCACAACATCTGTATCGATGGGCTCAACGCTCGGGTAATCCCCTGACCCGGTGTTTTCCTGCTTAGGCAAGGCGATGGAAATTGTTCGTTACATCTCCTTCATGCACAACTATTCCTTCATTTCGGGAATTTGAATATTTCCACACCTTACTTTCCGGTTACGAGTTGCCATGTACCTGAGGGAAGCCCTGTTGGACCATCGATACAATACTCTGGAATCTGTTTAGCTCCTCGTCACACGTGACAGAAAGTCTTGGGTGCACCCTGTAGAGCATTCTCTTCGATTTTGGCAAATCTAGCTGCACTTGGCAAGGACAGCCTTAGCACGGAGCCATTACGCAAACATAAATTCTCAAACGCTGATTAGAGTTTTTGTACACAGTACCCAAAACGGCTTGCTTGTGCTTGTTTTTGGCGTTTTCGTGCATCCTGAGTTGGAGCCGTTGTACACATGACAAGCCGCATCCTCCTGACTCGGAGCTCCAGATGCTCGGGGCGCCGTGCGCCAGTGGATTAGGGAGGCAGGTTAGCTGCTTTGCGGAATTCCTCCGCTAAGCATTTTTCTTCATCACATATCTCAGAAATCCTCGGACAAGATTGAGGACTCTTGTTGCAAAGCGCACTATAGATAGCTTGCGTTGCTTAAGTTTCCTCGCTGCCTCTACCAATGTGTGTTCCCTTGGGAATAAGTTTGCTTCGATGAGCATATAGGACAACTCTATATCTAATCAAGTGCACTACTCTTTTGGAGTGAATCCGGAATATAGTCACCATCATCATGCCACCCATGCTAACACAGAAGATGCCTGTTGCGTATGAATCTCTTCTGGTGCCTATTAGGGACGAAAATACAGTTTCCGTTGAGGTACAAACATATTCTTACCCTCCGGAAAGCAACGACCATCATATCCGGACGATTGGCAACTACAGACGTATTCTTCGCTAATTTATTTGGCTCTTAAAATATTTTTCGTGCGACGGGACAAACAGCTGCGCTTGCTTCTACTCGATGCTGCTTGCAGCGGTTGTTCGCTCCTCCACAAGAGCGTAAACACTTATAGATATCCACTGAGCAGAAGAAGTGAAGGCCTGATATTTGCCCACAATTTCGTGAATTCGGAAAACGATCCTTTTCGATATATATGAATTGTTCAGGACTACCCACTGCTGTGCGCAAACCCACCAATGTGTAGCGGTGAAGTTCCTTGCTCACGCCTGCCCCCGTAATCAATTGGGTACTACAAAGCATAGCACGACCCTTCGACCTTATTCGTGGACTACTATGGGCTGCAGTGGGGACAAAATCCTGAAGGCGTGAGGCCTTTAAAGCAGCAGACGTCCCACCCCAGTCTCCAGGCATCCTGGGCCCAGCCTCCCAGGTAGCTAGAGCTGGAGGAAAGCAAGTTACCCACCACGAATTGCAACGCAAATTCCTACAACTCAACGCTGAAGCCAACCCCATACGCAATCACAAGCAAGCCTTCCTGCTGGATGGACACTTTATACAATTGTCGCCGACCCCTGTGTATTGGATGCTTGCTAAGGTTCAGTATGGTTTCATGCGCCTATTTCAGACAGAACTGCCAACATGGACAGGCTAAGTTAATTGCATTGATGCGGTACGACTCATGCCTGATTCCCTGCGCTACAACAGCACCAGGCGCCTGTGCACCTGCGCTCATCACGGCTGGAGGACAGGGGGACAAGCCGGCATCATTTGAAGAGCTTTCTAACTATTTCGATTACAATGCAGCTCACAAAAGTCCAAGGACACGGCCACCGACCAGCCTTACAAGCAGCAGCGAATCAAAGAGACGCGCGACGCCAGCCAGTCGGTAAGTTAGCATTTGCCTCAGAAAAATGGCAGCACGCAATGACAAGCAGCAGCAGCAGCAGCAACAGTAATAGAAGCACGTCTGTCAACACTTCAAGTACTTGCGGAAGGAGCTACAGCAACGGAGGCAACTACTGCAGCACAATAGCAGCAGCAAGGCAGCATTCCTAGAAAGGTCTCCATGCGTAGCGATTCTCGACAAATTATACTTCTAAGGACTCCACTGAGCAAAATAGGGAATACGAATTTAGCTCCTCGCTGCGTTAAAAGCAGCAGCAACAGCGCAAAAGGGTGCGAGCGGAGAACGCTGACACAGCTCCAGCAGCGGCAGCTGCTACTGCTGCTGCTGTAGCAAAGGCTGCAGCAGCAGCATCAGTAGAAAGGGAAAGAATGTTCATAAACAAAATAATGATTTAAAAGGTTGATTAGCGAAGAGCCCCCGCACTCTGGAATACAGCAGCAGCAGCAGCAGCAACGGCAGCGGGAGCAGCGCAGGTAGCAGCAGCTGCAGCAGCAGCAGACTCCCGACCCGAACGGACTGCTGCACTGCCTGCAACCTGCTCTTCCCTGCTGCTTCCTGAGTAGCATTTATCTGTCTCTCATCGCATTCTATTGTCTGTCTCTATCTGGTCCCATACATTCTGCTGCAGCAGCACCCGCAGCAGCAGCAACGGTAGCAGCAGCAGCACTATTGGGCTTCACCGCGGCAGCAGGGCATTTCGACGCATCCTTTTGGCCGGAGTTTTGCTGCTCCTGCGCGTTAGGCTGCAGCATCGCTGCCTTCTTTCGTCCTTAGTGCTGTAGCTGCTCGTGCTGCAGCAACCCCCCACCGGTTGTTGCTGCTTCAGCGCTCTCTCAATCGCTTGTCCTACTGTTGCTGCTTCTTTTGAGGCTGCACGTGGCAGAAGGCTTAGCATTCTCCACTGCATATCCACTTGTTCTCGCTGCTGCAGTTGCTTCCACGTTGCAACTAGAAGAGTGCTTGCGGCGCTGTAAAACGGTCAGTGTGCTGATGCTACTGCGGCTACTGCATCCGTGCGGCAGCTGATGCATGTGGGCAGGGTTTTTTGGCCTTCTGTCCTCCTTTCAACGGCGGAGGGAGCGGAGTTTGCTGCTATTGCTGCTGCGGCCGGGTGCTGCCGGCTCTCCTGCTGCTGGCGTACTGAGGGTGCTACGAGTGTGTCTTCTGGTTTCGTCTCTTCCCAGCATTTGCTTCGTTGCTTTTGTCCTACATGCTTGCAGGTGGACTGCTGGTAGTTCTGCAAGACAGCTTAGCTGCTTCGGCGTCCAGCAGCAGCAGCCGCAGCGACGGCAGTGGGCGGGATATCGGCAGGGGGAGGAATATTGACTTCTTTTTATTGAACTGTCGCTGCAGCATCAACAGCTTCATCTTAACCTGCTAACAGCTGCCAGAGGCAGCCAAAGACCTAACATCTGCACTGCGAGGACGGCTTTCAAGTGATTTCGGCGATAGCAACAGCAGCTGGCAGCTGGGGCATACACTCCACCGACACATCTTGGGTGCGAAGGCGTAGCACCAGCAGCATTCAATCGAGCAGCGATACCTGCAGCAGAAGCAGGGCGAACTTACCGTTTCCTTCATCTCCTTTGTAAAAATGAGTTCGGAGCAACACGAGAATGAGCGCCCTGTAAGTAACAGCAGCAATGGGAGCTACTACTGCTCTGCTCCTCTGGGATCATGTGTTTGGTGTGTTCTGGGGGGCGTGGGTGGGATAGTGTTGTTGCAAGTGACTGCTGATACTGCGGGGATATGTGGCATACTGGCGCTAAGGCGTATGATTGCTGCGTCGGTCATTGTAGGCGTGATGTCGGTGTCTAGACTGCTGGTGCTGTTTGCTGCTGTGCGTGCTGCAGCCGGTGCCCCCTCTGTGTGCAAACAACTGCGGCTTCTATGGCAGCCCAGCGAGCCGCAACCTTTGCTCAAAGTGCTACAGGGAATTTCTAAAGGCGGAGAGTACTGCAACAGCAACGGCAGCAGCTGCTGCGTGCAGGCGCACACTGCCACAGCAGCAGCCGGCTTCCACAGACACAGCAGCACCTGCTGCAGCAGAATCTGCTTCACAGCAGACCTCCCCAACTCAGCCACAGCTGGTACCCACCGCGGAGTCCGCTGATGTGGCAACGGCTGGGGCCGTTGCACCGACAGCAGCCGCTGATGCCACACCAACAGCCGCCGTATCAGCGGAGAGCTGCGGCAGAGAGTTGCAGGGGGCAAGTGACAGTGATGCTGTTTCCGCAGGATCAGCTCCGGCTGCAGTCCCTTCAACGGCTTCGGAGCGGCTGCCTGGTTCGGCAGCAGATGCGGCAGAAGCTGCGGAAGCAGCAGCGACAGCTGCAGCGTCTTCTCCGATTGATTCTGCAGATGCAGTCGCCCCGCCATCGCCTGCCTCGGCACCTGCAGGGACAGCAGCGGGTTCTTCCCAAGGCAAAGTGAGCTGCCGAACAGTAGAAGGAATATTCCAAGGAACATGGGTGCATAGTTTTTCTACAATTCACCCACGTCAGGTCCATTCAGTTCTTCTCTACCCTGTAACGCATAAGCTGCTTGGACGGGCGTCCGTGCAAGCACACACTTTGGAGGTGTAGCCGTTTGGAGCATAGGACAGAAACTTCGTTTTCTATGGTTGGTGACGATGCTCGGTGGTGCTGCTCATGCCGCTGTAGGTGGTGCCTCGGGTTCAGTAGTGCGACTTATTTTGCCGCTTGTGCGTTGCTGCAGGGGAAGGCGTCGCGCTGCCATAAGTGCAACAGGAAGGTGGGGTTGTTGGGGTTTATGTGTCGATGCGGCTTTGCTTTCTGTGGGGAACACCGATATGCAGACGCGCACGGTTGTCTGTTCGATTACAAAGCATTTGAAAGGGAGCAGCTGAGGAAGCAGAACAACAAAGTTGTTGCAGACAAACTGCAAAAGCTGTAAAGCGCTCCCCGGGACGTGTGGTAATCTGAGGTGTGCAGCAGCACTAAGGAAAACGAACACCGGCATCAACAGCAGCTGCAGGCGTGCCTCTCTTGAGGACGGCACGCCTGTGCATATAAAAAGTAGAGAGGGATAGCTGAATGTTTCTCCACTGATAAAAACCCGAATGCGTTCTGGGCTGTAGTTACTGTTGCTACAGTTGTTGCTGCTGGGGATTCAGCGGCAGCTGGGCACAGCTGCCATAGCAGGAAAGCAGGGTTGAAGCTTGCTGGTGCGTGGAGTGATGAATGTGTTGTATTTATACGCCTTCATTTGGGGTGAGTAGTGTAGTGGTGCCGCTCCCCAAAGCAAAGCAAATTGTTGGAAAAAGCTCAGGGCAGTGCACTATATATACCGTTTTCAGTTTGTCTTTTTCTTCTTCAGTTCGACATGTGTTGAAAGTGTGTACACGTCGCACTGGAGGCTCGCCCCCACAGGAACACAACACTGACGAGGGTTGAGCGTGTAGGGGCGAGATGGTGTGCGTGTGTGAGTCCGTGCATACAAACACCTTCATAGTATGTGTTCTGATGAGCTTGTTCAAGAACCGCATATCATTTATGGAACACCGATGCATTATTATTGTAATGTGCTGGCTGGCGTTCTCTGCTCTTCTCTTTTGGCACGCCTGGCAACACCAACTTGCAAAACCCACGAACGAACATCAAGCAGCTCTTCTTTGAAGGCCGATGCTTGTTGTAGCATTACTTGATTTCAGCTGTAGTTCAAGCAGTGCTTCGTTTAAGGTTTAGAGGCAAGCATGCAGTTCTGACCCTCGAAAGTTCCCCCTCTCATCCGAGGCAAACCACAGCAGCTAGTCTGCATGTTAGAAGGTGGGGCTCCAGCTTCGCAAGTACGCACGGTCATAAGAGGAGTATGCTGCGACGAATTCGTCATATGCAGTGCGTCGAGCGATTCTGTGGAGGTCTCAGACTTAAAGTAGCTTCACTTGTGTTAGCTTTCCCGTTCAGTTCCTGCAAGCAACCTGCATCGGAGAAGTGTCCAGTGTACTTTACTGTTGGTTAAAAAGGTCAACTCTAGGCGGTAGGCACGCAGCTGTTACCTGGCGCACAGCTTAGCAATACATCTGGTTGAAAGGCAGGGTAGCTCATTGCTTTGCTTCAATATCAGTCGCCGTCTGTGGCAAACTCTTGCCGCTTGGCGCTGTCGTACAACTAGCCGCACTCAACTGCATGCATGCTCAGCCCCGTCCGTGGGGGTTGGGGGGCAGTATTAGAGAGCATTTGATTTTCCTCTTCATACTCATCGCCTATATTTCAAGAAAAAAAATTTCTATTGATATCCAGTTTAAAGAGGGGGAAGAGCTTCCCTGGCTCCCTGCCGCCCTGCCAACATCCGTGGCTTGCCATTTCAGCTCGCGGAGGAAAATGGTACGTTGTTGCCTCATATATTCCTCTTCTGCCGTCAACACTTGCATATTTCAGGACCATTTCTCGTTTTGTATTTCGATCAAGGAGCCATTCTCTCCTGAACCCGCAGCGAACGGCAGTCGCTGGCCGCTGCCTTAACGAGTCGTGTTCAATACCTGTCCTGCCGCTTGTCACTCCTTTATATTTTTTATATTTATTGCATGCAGCCGCCGTGCGTATGCAAGTTGTTTCCTCAGGAGAATGCATGCAGCAAACGCAAGCCGACTACCCAGTTGACCAAAGATCAACTGCAGGGTGAAGCCACGCAAGGAGAGCAGCAAGAAACCGAAACTCATTTGGATATGAAGGAGGCCGATGCGGACACTTTAAAGAACAGACGGTAAATTGTATCCTGGAGTCTAAACACAGTTGCAGCAGTTGTGGTGTTGCTGTTGCTGCACCGCTGATGCCCCGCTACCTGCAGCGTCTTAGTGGTGCTGCACCAGTGGCGCTGCTGCGGAGAGTATTGTTTCTGCTGTGGCTGCAGCCGACTAAAGATCGTGCGGACGCATGCGCCTCCTGCTGCTGACTGCTCGCAGCAGCGGTCACTGAAGGAGGACGCAGCAGAGAGCAGATTGCAAACAGTGAGGCCCCTCGCCACGCAGCAGCAAGTGCGTGTCTCTCTTTAGTCACTTGGCGTATTTCGACATTATTTCACACTTGTGGCTGTACGTGCGGTTGCAGACACCCGAGGTGGCCCCGCAGACAACGGAATCCCCTGCCACAACCGCTGCAGCACCTCCCGCAGCCACTGATGGTGAACAGGCAGCGGCCCCTGTAGCGGAAACTGCAAACGCATCTGAAGATGCAGAAAATGGAAGCAGCGTCTCCCGCACAGATGGGTGTGCAGCTTCTGCTGATGGTGCTGCTGCAGTTGAAGCTGCCGATGCTGCGGCAGCGGTCCACAACGGCAACGCAGCAACCGGCAGCGGAAGCAGCAACGGAGGTGGTGGAGGCCTATTTGGGTCCGTGTTGAAGGGTACCTCCGCATTTGTCAGTCCCTTCAGCTCTCTTGTGAGGCTTCACCACGTTTTCCCCCCGATACATCTTCAGATTCCTTTTTCCGCAGGTTCCTTGCATGGCCTGACTCCCACTCTAGTGCCACTATTATTGATGTTCGCATGCGGCGCAGGGTGCAACAGGAAGCTCCTTCTTGCTGCCTTCTACAGGAGCTACTGAGGGCTCGTCCCTCTTCAGAGGGTCAGGAGAGGCCCCAGCGGCCGAAGAAGATGCAGATGTACCCCCACCGGAGGAACCCACCGTCGTCACAACCAGTAAAGAACACTTGTGCATGCAGCTGCGGCAACAACTGCTGCAAAAGTTGCACTGGCAACAGCCACAGTTAGTGCCACTACCTGGTGTAGAGGGTTGACATTGGACGGAAAAGAGCTACTATGCGCACCGTGCGCTATGCCTTGTTCTGTTTTCAGCTGTCGATAGCAAGGAGGAAATCATCTTCTCAGATGTGAGGCGCCGTTCTTGTCCGGATGTAGCCCTTCCCCTGCTGTCCAGCTGAACATGCCAATGCGGCAACAACAGCAGGATCAGCCATTGTACCACTTCCTGGTGGTATTCGTGCATCTGTCTACTGTCTTTTTGCTTACAGTGCTTGGCTTTGTGGCATTGTGCTTGGCTGTCCACACAGAGATGTTGTGAATTTGAATTTATCTATGCACGCACCCGTAGTGTTTTGCGGGATTTTCGTGGCTCAGCGCGACTGCCGCATGCAGTGCTTCGATCTGGAAAAGAAAGTGTGGACCCCTAAGCCACCTCTGGACGGCAAAGTTGACTTCGTTGCACCCAAGGCAAGTTACTGTTTTTCTTGTGGATATGGTTGCTCTGTTTATGGCGTTCGCTTCCTTTGCTACTGCTGGTGTGGTTTTGTTAGTGCTACACCTGCTGCAGCTCTTGCCAGTGTCAGTTCGCCCTGCTGCAATTTTTGGAATTAGCGTATGCTTGTCTAAGCCTCCTGAGGCCTATATGTATTGTCCCAAATCTAGTCTGCAAGACTTTTTTACACAACTCTGCCTTTGCTTGTGGTGGTAACTTAGAAAGGAGAGGAGGAGGGCCTACCGAATGCCCGCATTCTATTTTTCGTCAATCGCACAGGCCGGCTGCGACTAAATTCTCCGGTGTTGCCATCAACAGTCAAATTTAGACATCCTGTTGAGCGTTCAGCAGCTTCTGCTGCTCAAGAGGGCGGCAGTGCGGCTAAGGACTTGCCGCTCAAGAAGAATACGGTGGAGTTCACCGGGCTCAGAATCGATGCAAGTTCGTCTGCAATGACGGGTTCTGTACAAATTTTGTGTTGCTTCCTTTATCTAAAACAGGCACAACTGCGGTGGTTTCCTCCCCCACCCCCAATTTGATGGGTGTGTGCCAACTGATGATTATGTCCGTTTGCGGCTGCAGAGGACGCGAAAGATACGACCTTCTACCGCATCCGCTTTTCGAACGATGAACGCGCTGCGGAGTTTATTTCCTTGGCGAATGCCAAGCAAGAAGAGGCTGCCAAAACCGCCCAAAACGGTAGCACCAATTAGTGCAATTTAGGCGAATGCACATGCAAGGAGCCGCCTGCAGCAGATCCTTCCGATAGAGGCATCGCTTGTGCGAAGCATTTTCTGGGACTTTTCTCCGTGATCCGTTCAGATCACATTCCCAGACACCTTTAAAATCGTTTTGGCAATCATGGTTGAAGTAGCGAAAAACATATTCTTGCCGAGCACTCCTGTCGAGTTTGCTACCTGAGCGGACACCTGTTCCACAGGGTACGCCGTGTTGTAATTTGGACTCTTCATTTTCCCCTATCGGCTAGTCCGTCTTCTGTGGATAGCGGACGTATGCACGGGGCAGGCGCAGCAAAAGCTCTAGAGAAGCAATTGCTAGTTGACGAGTGGACTTCAGTGCCTTGCGCCAGATAGTGTACACAGGAGAGCGTGGGTCTGGGAAGGCAGCAGAAAAACGCACATGGCACCGCATGAGGGCCAAAGGAAGCAGTATGTAACGCAATGAGGAGGCACAGATGCAAAATACAATCGTTTTCAGCGGAGATCTATGTGTTGTTGGTAGTTACGCGTTAGCTGACAGGACCTGTGGCTCCCAGCAAGGCAAAGCCGTGTAAGGCTTACGCGTTGTTTTGTTGATAATTTCGATGAGGACCACAACGGGCTTAAAAATTGAGGGTCGCGAAAGCAACAAGAGCGGATCAGCGACAAAGTACATCTGGATTAACCACGCCTGCAGATTGGATGCGCGTGGGCCCTCTCCAGGAACAAATTCACGAGTGCCTTCTTCAGGTTGAGGACGAATGAGATTTTTCACGGCGTCTTCCGCTACATCTTGTTCAACGCCGGCTGCCTTGCTTAGTAAGAAGGCAGCGGCACGCTCCATAGCCAACACCTGAAGCTGCTCCAGCATTTCGCGGAGCCCTTCTTTGGCCATGTTTGGCGTTTGCAGCAAGTGTTCGAGCATTCCGATGACCAATTCACGCACAGGTTCGATCGCCATGAATGGACGCTTCTTGCTTACGCTCTCCACTGCCTGTTGGAGCCGCCCACGAACAGCTGCCGATGCCTCGGGGGAAGCTTTATCCCCTAGCACGCCCATCTCCAACAACTGTTCCCACAGATGATCGAGCAGAGCTGCAGGGAGGAAAGCACTTCAAGAAACACTCGGATTCAGATACCGCTAGATGGGTTCGCAATGGCAGTATAATTCTACCTGCATGCATGTATTTCCACGTGTACAGTATTCCGGCTGGCATAGGTTACCTTGGTCTGCAGACTGCTGAACTAATTTGGAGTTCTCGATCCCCATGCGGACGAAATAGGAGAAAAGTCGTTCGGCTTCCAACATGTCCTGTTCCACAAATATTCTAGCGCGCAGTTCAAACCATAGTGGGTGGACGCAAAGTTGCTGTCGGCTCTCGTGAGTTTTCTTAAATTGTTCATTTGTGGTCATGGCGTCCACAGTTTGTCGTTGTTCTGCAGCCTCCCCAACTGCACGTCCATTTGCCTCAAGTTCATCTTTCAGCCAGAGATCGGCATCTTGCTTGCACGCTGCGCTGATGACGGCCAAATAATCGGTTTTCAAAAGGCGTTTCCACTTCTTGCGGATGTCACCCAAGGCTTCCTTAATCGAGAACGGCAAAAGCACAGTTGAAAAGGATCTGTTTACACTGTTTGCTGCTGATGCTGCATACTCGGTTTGCCCACCCCCAAAAGGTCGGCGGAGTGCTGTTCTTCTGCGTATGCTCCTACGCTTTTGCCACCCCAAGCGCAGCTTCCACTTTCGCTGCGTCCTCCACGGCCGGCCAAGGGCAGCAGTAGCCAGGCTGTCGACGAAGCGGGTGGAGACTGAATTATATAGGCGAGAGGGAAGCTGTGCTATTGAAATTAAGGTGTGGAAAATTGAGGCAAATGCTGATGAGTGAGCTTCAAATAAGGAAGCCTGCTGCATCAAATGTTGAACTGTCGCCTTCGCGTTACGCAGGCCCTCTTGATCAGCCTTGATAGCCATCTTGAAGGGGTAATCACTACTGTAGTCCCTCCCAGGCCGCTCCGCTTTTGACTCCGCAGGTGGGCGCAAGTCCATTGAAGGCGCCGTATTCACATTAGTTTTTGAAGGCTTCCCGTTCTGTTCTCTGTCAACTGAGAGCTGCGGTGTCCAGGTGCCTTCGTTCTCGGAATCGTTCCCAGAAGAAACATTTTGTTCCGATATTTGCGTATTTCTACTTTTTGATTCTTCTTCGATGCTCCCAGACCTTTCCCCATCTGTACTAAATTGTGGTGGCGCCTCGGTTTTGAGAGTGGTCACTGTTGCGAAGCTTTCCGAAAATCCTCCGTCTGCACTCACAGCAGCCATGTTCGATGCCTCCAAACGTTCCAGTACATCCTCTGCGTCCCCCAGCTGGATTAACAATGAGGTTAGCATGCGCAGGCGGCTAGATCCGTTGATAGGTATAGTGTACCAGGTTCCAGAGCTCTTGTCTGAGAAGAAGAGCAACGCATATAAACACTGAGATACCGCTCAATCGTTCCCCATCCACCAGGCCGTATCTGATAGACTACTGTGCCAATACCCTGCCTCACCTTCTGGTGTACACTGCAAGGGAGAGGTACCAAATTTGCTTCCCACAGTCTCGTTAACCAGACCCATGATTTCCAATCCTTTCATAAGTGGTGCGTGCAGTAGGAAAGCAGCAGTCAGCTCAATCTTCTGACTAGCTTCACTGCGAAGCTGCACATTTTGGGCTACACGAATGAGAGACTCCAAGTCATGGAAATCAAGACCTTCTGAGGTTGCCTCTCTGTTAATTTGGAAATATAGGGGAGATTCAGAAGTAACCGACAACTTCTGCAGCTCTTTCATCTGCTTCAAGCCTGCTAATCGCCTGCTCTGGAAATTCGGGTCTGCAACCGTTGGGATCGCCAAGCTGCAGAAAAGAAGTAAGCTAGGGTGTCCAAGTCGAGGGTGGTGGAGTTTTCGTCCGGCTGCAATTCCAAAGCAGGCAAACTCAAGACCCCTTCTTGTTTATCACCTAACCAGAATCGGCGTCCAACAATTAGGTCGATCTCACCACAGCAAAATACTGCCGTTTCTAGCTACGAAGATATGTCTGAAGGGTAGCTGTACCTGCAGCCAGAGGAAGGCTTGCTGGCGATATGTTGCTCAGTCCCAGGGTGTGGTGAACAAAGGCTTCCCCTCGTGACTCCACTGAGGATTTTTCCAGCAAAGCCACAGCATCGCCAGCTTTGAGGACAAGCTTCATCCCTGCCTGTTCCAAGTAAGCGAGGCTTCGCCGGGTAATGAGGTACTCGCCTCTACGCTCTTCTGTCGGGCCGTCAATGATGGAAACGAAACGAGAAAACAAACGGGGTAGATTAGTGCTAGCGTATGCCGGAGCTGCCGAAGCAATATTAAGAAGCCAAAGGTAGCCTGCACACTGCCTTACGTGACGCCTGTATGATGGGCCGAACTTTGTTTTGGCTGCTCTCAGCTGGGCTTCGAAGCGTTCTATCAGCCCTGAAGAAACAATCACAATACCCCCTTTTCCAAATATATAGGTGCTTACAACGCTGTTCTGTTCATAATGGCGGTGCTCAAACTGAAGCTGCCTAATATCAAGCAGCTAACTAGCGGACTAGTTGTGCAACTAGCCATTTACTTTTCATTGCCGGAGACGGCGTCGGCATCATTTTCATCTGCGTTATGATCTCAGCTCCCTCAGGTCGGTCCATAATAGGAAGCACTTCAAACTTTATGAGGGTGCGGATGCGTGTAAAAGCAGCTAGGGTAGTAGGATGGATGAGAACACTGCTAGGAAACAGAGCTTGGTCGGCAAACGCCTCCACCGCAGCTAAGTGCAGTGTTCGGAGAAACTCAGGACCTCTCAGAATATTGAAAATCCTGAATAGAGCAAACGACAGTGATGTAAATGTTAAGGGACCCACTAGATGTATGCATATGGTTAGCATCCTGCAAAAGGAAGGAGGAGCTCCGGAATTTTGGATTTCACTCTTACCGGATTCCCAAGAGCCTTTTAGCTGCTTCACTCCTAATTTTGTGAGCAAGTCTTCGTGTACCTCTACTGACGCGTTTTCTGAGAGTGATGAGCGAGCGTTTGATAGCTGAGCGAACTGAATCTGTTTGCTCATGATATTCGCCGTTTCTTGGGGGCTTGGCGTTCAAGTACCTTTTCCAGGAATACCTGTTGGTTTTCTTCGCCTTGCGAAGAAGCTGAGTAACCTGGCGGAGATACTTGAACACAGCATTTTTTTCTTTTTCACTCGGTTCCCCCTGCAAGCCACAAAGGCACGCATGGAAACAGCATTTGCTCAAGATTAAACAACGAATCATCTCATTAAGGGTTGCGTGTAGATTTCATAGCATGCGCAGCTGGCACATGCATATCTGCGTAGGCGAGCCAACGCATTTAACTGCTGTGCCTTTGTTCTAGGCAGACGCACCTTCTGGCGCTTTCCGAGGAAGCGAAGGAGTGAACATTGGATGATGCCTGCATCTTGAGCGGCCAATCTAGCTAACCCGGGTTCATCGATGTTGCTGCTACTAGCACGCGAATATAATTCTTCGCACCAGTCAGCGAAGAGTGGGTCAATTGTTCCCTCTTCACGAGCAAAGGCATCACTGATTGAGGGCCTGTAGAAAGCGTTCGTCCTTCGTTGAGGTGGAGCTACAGAGCCGACCGAGCTTTGGAAGTGGGGAACTACTCTTGCAACCCTGCTCCGCTGTTTTTCCGCAGCATATTCATCCCATAAGATTACTTGAAACCTTCCCAACATACTCGTTAAGCCAGTGACATTCTTCTCCGCCATCTTTACGGCCTCCAGTCCCACAGCTACAGGGAAAATCAGTGCCAAATCTGAGAGGCCGGCGCTTAAGCTTCCTAAGCCCAGCATAAATAGCAGCATAAATAGCAGCAGAAATAGCAGCAGAAATAGCAGCAGAAATAGCATTTCACATCATAAGAGTGCCGAGTTACTCGTCAAGTTGCCTGCATGCACATGCTTGCTCATCCCGTGCTACCAAGAGGAAACCCTGAAATGAAGAGGGCCGGACCTGCTGTGATCAAGGTAGATTCAAGAGACCTAACCAACAGTTCGAGGAACCCTTCGGCGGAAACATCCAAGGAATACAGCGCCTTTCGCTCTTCGTCGACGTAGGTCTCCCTGTCAAGGTGCATTCCCGCGGAAATATTGTGCTGCACGTAATCCAGATCTGTTGGGGTCCAATCATTGAAAAACTCCTTCCAGCTCCGATCGCTGTAGAGAGCTCTCTTCGTCGCAACGAGGAGGTCTGCAGCCTGAAAAAGGAGTCGAAAACCTCACACTTGTTATTTTGTTGCTGAACGAGAGTTCTGTTAACCCTGGTTTGGTCTCTGCACCCCATAACTCGTGCTCTAGGCAGTTGTAAGCCTTCAACATGTTTGTCGATGCAAGAAAACCTTCGGCATAACCATACGTCAAGCCCGTTGTGTATCTATGTGAGCAGTTACCTTGAGGGCGTCAACTCGCGGAATGCCTTTCGACCACAGGGCAGCTTCAATTAGGTGCGCAGCGCTTTCGTCGTCATGCCTAGCCCTTAAAACAATTCCAGAGTCTACCATGAAGCCGTTAATCCCCGCAAGGCCTGGCACGTGTAAGCGGCCCCCCACATCATTTTGCGTGTACCAAGCATTGAATTCGACGAATTCGTGCTCCGGTGTGCATAGGGATCTTTTCATCTCAGGCGTGATTGGGGGTGCTGCGGATGTAAACGCACAGAAAAAAGGCTGCAGATCTGCCAACAGTCATGCCATAACTCCTCAGTAGGACTGGCGTTGCTGTAAGGTGGTGCACAGATCTCAGCAGCTATACCCCAGGTTTTGCTTTTACCTGGCCTGAAAACTTTGGCGATCCCCAGATCCGTGGTCAGCACAAAGAGTGCGCCGTTGTTGAGACACTGCAGGCGGGTCAACTTAAACTGAACAAGCAAGCATCGTTCACAAACATAAATATGCATAACTAAAACAGCCAAACGACACCGAAGCCCATTAACTGTGCGTAATGTGTGCTACATGGCCTTGCGTATGAGATTTGTAAGGCAGCTGGCTCGCTGCAGCAATATGCAAGTAGGCTCACTAGTTTTCTCACGACGCTGCTAGCAGCCGACTGATTGGAGGTCACTGAAACCCACACAGAATCATCGCAGCCAAATATAATAGGACGGGTCAGCACGTTGGGCCGTATAGGTGCAAGGAGAACTTAGGTGCCTGCCAAGGCACCTATGTTCTCCTTGTCTTTTGATGGTTATTTCACTTCTGTTTATTGGGTGCCACAGTGTGCATTCCGGTTTATAAGGGTTTGTATTATTTGGTTATTCATCAGTGTTGCGGTCTGGCACAAACGCAGTACCAGCGAGCTCGATTGTCGTCAGGTGTTCCTCTGAAATAGGGCCATCCCTTTTCCCTTCAGCTTTGCGCTGGGGGAATAAATGATCTATTAGGAGGTCAAGACCCCACTGAGTCTTCCTTCGAAGTACCCTGGATGTAGGGGAGCGGTAGCGAAACCATGCTGCATCTTTAACAAGGGACATGAAATCTTCTTTTAAATCCTGGGAGGATTCAGCTAGTTTCTCATCCATTCCAATTGAGACGCCAAGGTGGGCAGCTAGAACAAACTGTAGGACAGCAAATCTCGCTTTTGTCGCTTCATCTGTGTTAAAGCACATTTTCTGATCAGACAATTTGCAAGTTTGAACCCTGTCTCGTCCTACTGTAGCCCTGACCATCTTTTCTAGGCGTCCAAAAATGCTGTCAAATGCCCTGATAAGCTTCCGTAGAGACTGTCGCAGAAGAGACATCATCATCAGATCCCTCTTGGCCGCATACTTCCCAAGTAGAGTGGCTTCTGCCGATGTTACTGATTTGTCCTCAACTACTTTGAGTTCTGGTTCGGCCATCTCCAATTCGGGTGGCAGGTCCACCTCAGCAAACGCTTCTAATCGCTGTGACACTAAGGACAAGTCTTCACGCTTTTCACTTGCGGATTGCCTCTCTGAAGCGTTCCCCAACAAGGTTGCACCGACCGTTGGGGCCTTGCCAATCGAGCGCGGCCTCCACTGGTGCAGCTTTCGCAACAGAAAGAAAGTTGCTGCAGCAGAAAAAAAATCAAGTATGGATTTTGCTGGATTCCTTGATGAATGAGTAGAGATGCAGCCAAGGTTCAATAGCTGATGCTCAGAAAATAAAACTTACTTATGCCGGCCACACCAGAAGTAAAATTATGAACATCTCTTTGTAGCCTTGGCTTGACTACGATATTTGCAACTAATGAATCCTGCAGGTTAACTTCAGCAAATGCAGCCCTCAATGTTTCAATTGAGGGGTTATCACTCTGCTTTATTTGCGCTTCCAGTGAAACCCTTGCGGTGTTGTACACCATGAGCAATAAATCCGTAATGTAGTCCCGAAATGCCATCCAGCTGATAAAGTTTAGAACTTCTCTGGACCTCGAAGAAAAAGATTCCAACCGTCGAAATGTTCCTTCGCACTGCGCACAAAGTGTGCTCGCCACATGTTAGGTATATTAAGTGGAGTAGAGAATACTCGATCATACCAATGCGTGCTTGAGTGAAGCATTTAAACTCACAATCAGCTTGGTTTTTGTCAGTAGAATACGTTGTTCCTGCGCACATGCATGCACACCCACATACACAGAGAATCCAGTCACGAGGGGCACGAACAGACAATTACCGGCCTGACTTCGTTTACATCAAACAGAAGGGTTTGACTCCATGCGCACGTAGCATTTGGTCGTTTCATCTTCGTAAGCTGTTAGGTATTCCCCTTCTATAAGCGAAGTATATTCCCTGGCAAAGTGAACGATCCCATTGAGGAAGCCCTGGGAGAACACCTCGCTAGAAAACGTAGTCAAGCTGGGTACCGAATTCTCAAGTGTCTCCACACCAACGGAATCCAGCTGCCAGAGCTGTGTTAGCATGACGACGAATTTGCCACTAAAGGCACTCTTCAAAAGCCTAGCCCCATGAGGATCGCTTCGCAGTCGAAAAACTGCAAACACCCCAGACACTAGCATGCCGTCTCAGTTTTTTTTAGAAATGAACGTGAAAAGCTTTGTTATGTGCTGAACGTATGGCAAGACTTTGACCGAATACCAATGTAACGGAGAGATTCACCTACACACGAGAACAATGATTGTGGAACCGTTAGGCTTACGTTGAATATGCTTGTAGGCAGCAGTTACGCCTTTCAGAACTTTGTTGCTGACAAAGTTGTATATTTCGGACAGGAGTGTTGGCACCCCCAGTAAGCATGCCACCCCCATTGCTCCGGCAAGCCCCCCAGTAACAGCCAGTAGCGGCGGGAAGAACATGAGGTTAAAAGCTCGGAGAAAATACTGAAGAACCGTTCCCACAACTCCTCCAGGTAATAGCAGAGCCGGCCCGGCCATACTCTGAATCTTCATAGCCATCCTAAGACAGCCTTGGACAAGTCTGAGTCCTGATGTCAGCATGGGCTGGAATGAGAAACCCAAGCTTGCTCCTGTGTGGAGGATGCTATGGGCAATGGTAAAAATTGATTCTGATGCTAAGGATTCAAACAGTCCAGCAAAACCGCCCCCTGCAAAGAGTTGCACCACATTGCTCGCAACGAATTTACTCCATAAAAAAATTATATGGAGTAGAGTATCGGTCAGCATGCAGACAGCAAACTCCAGGTTTGAGAGAATAGAATAGCGGCTGGCAGGACAGGGTGCAGAGGTTGGCTTCGAGCTTGACCCACTTTTCCCTTCTCGTACATTGCAGATAATGTGCTGAACTGCTGCCATTGCTCTGCTATCTTGTCGGATCCTTTCAACGGAGGCTCCTGAAAATCGGTTCAGTACTTTCACCACCTCCTTGACTTCTGCTTCCTCCTGAGTTTCGTTCTTGGGAGCCGCTGTAGCATCACACAAGTTTGTGGAACATGATTTTCGTTTTTATCCGTTCGGTAACCGTGCAGCAAGTGTGTTCCAGTGACTTCGGTTACGCGTCGACAGTTTAGGTTTCACGTACTTTTTTTGACGACTTTTTCAATTATCCTTATGAATGATCTCTTCTTATCAAGTTCAGGCAGCAAACTCCCTATGATCAGGTTTGTCACCGCAAGAGACCTCAGTGCGGCGTGTGTGCGGACATAGTTGAAGCCTGAGCAGAAGTCAATGGAGACAAAGTAGTCCCACACACTGGTGCAAGCTTAATGTTTTTGGAGACTGACTTCCAGGGTAATGGAATTTGAGATTGTCGCTGCAATTTCCCGTCCAGTAAGGCCTTTGCATACTTGGTTTTGCTGTTCCTTGAATTGACTCCCTAAACACCTTGTGGTACAGAGCCAAGGCTGAGTCATCTAGGGGGGAAAGGCTAAGCTGCACCAAAGATGTGATTGCATTGGCTCCTTCCTTGTTCCACAATGCATCTGCAAACAGCACCAGAAGCGCCTTTGTAATTGTGTGCTCGTGATGCGGGTGCACGGAATACAATTTGACCATTATCTTATTGTAGGTAGGCTCGTGTGGACTGAAATCAATCACGCTTTACTACGCATGAGCCTACCTTCAAAGACGGGGAGACTACTGCCGGTCCTACCGCCATTTTCGTGAATTTCCTCTGGATATGGGGGCTTTGCAGTGGAGTCAGAGGTACTCCATCTTACACTTGAGGCCTCAACGAGAGACGACGCCTGCCTCAACACTTCAAGGCCCGGCGAGTCTTGCCTCAGCAGTCCCTGAGTTTCCAAGCCGGTGCCTGGCAAAATAAGGCGATTCTGCCGACTGTATGCAAGGCCACTACGACAGAGTGACAAGGTAATGACGGAAACAATTGTGCATATGGCGATACCTTGGCCCATTTCGGGAAATATGCGTCTTTTCAAAAAAACTGTGCTGCTGGTTCATGCTGAAAGAATTGTCATTCCTCCTAGAGGTCAACTGGCAGGGCATCCAAGGCCACCTGCGGCATGACGAGAGATTAGAGTGAGTAAATCCCTTCAGAAGCATGTAATCAACTTCACTATACAAAAGAAAACCATTGGAAACTGTCTCAAAGGGTTAGCCGAGTTGCATATGGCTCAGATATTCACCTTTACGCGCATGTCTCTGCCGGTGTGGCCCCCAAGGACTGGCCCGTTTCAACGGTCCAGCTGCTGGCGATTACAGGCCTCTTTTTGTCCATATTTTTCAGTGAAATTCAGTTTTATTCATGATGTATATTGATAAATATCATTGCTACAGTATGGCTAGCTAATATGGCAGACGCCTCAGTAGCAATCCATCTCTCCACCATGAGCCACAACGTACCACTGGTTGACGGCCTAGTGCTGCAGTTAGCGACACGTTCTACTCCAACACCGGGACAGAAGTCCAAGCAGTAATACTTCATGTAACCATATAAACTCACAGTCAAGGTTCAACTACTCCTCAATGCTATTTCAGTAAATCGTCCGTTGGACAGCAACAATTGTGCGGACTGCCGCAGCAGCTACGCCATGTGAATACACGGTCTTGCCACCTCTGTACGTTGAATACCGCATATTAGCACCACTAATAAAGTTTTTTAATGCGCATATCACTACAGCATGTGGCTCTCAACTCATGGATTGGGATAGATCCATTGCGTGCTATAAAATATCCGTCCCCATCCCCGGAAGAAGCACGATGAGCTCTAGTGGTAGTCATCATTAAGTTTGCACATGACAGAATTCACGAAGCCCTAGGTGCCCACCCATTGCTCACTGCAGACAATGCTCATCCCCTAGGCAGAACGATCTCCTCTTGAAGCCTCAACAGTGTTTTGGCCCTCCTCGCATGGTCTGGTTAGAAAGTGATACACCCGCAACCTTACACGTAATAAAACTATATGCAGAGAGCCCTCCCAAGCGATGGAGGTCCAGGGCCCTTCCCCTATAAGCTGATTCTGCTGTGCTAGGTCCTGTACGATCGAAATAACTGCTCTCACAGAAGGTCAGAAACTCTAGCTGGAAGGCATAGGGTCTTTAAAAGAAGGTTGATCTGCAGCACTGATACAGCTGCTGACCCCCGGCCACACGCATGTTAATGCGGCAACTGGCCTGGGGTATTTGTATCTGCATACAATGCCTACAATCAAGTAAGTGAACTTGGAGCCCCATGTTCACTAAGGAATAATTATGGGGTCTGGGAACAGATGGGTCACACGAGAACTCAGTTCGTTATCACCAATGCAGAGGTCCCAGCGGAGCAGGATGCCGCCGTCGATTGTTTGAGCCATAAGGGCAAAAAAAGGCAAACGTGCATATGAACACCAGAAGACGTGTTGAGGCAGACGGATACTGCTGACACTCAGGAAGAAATGCTCAACTACAAGGTCTCCGCGAGTACTCATGAATTGATATTTCCGCTCTCTTGTCCTAGGGGCTGCAATAGCAAGTCGAACGTGGGCCCCACTGGCAATGTGCCGTTTCTTTGCAGCGCCTTGCACAGAGATTCAACGTCCAGCTCTCTTACCTAAGGGGAGAGAGTAGCAGATGTACAGTTCCCACATTTCTCCCGAGCAAGCACTGCAATCTCGTCGCGTTGTACAAACTGTCAACAGGGCCAACGACTCTCCCAATAATTTCTACCACAAGCAACAGCACAAAGAGAACGCGACAGTGCCTAAACTGCAAACTGTTCGTACCTCGCCGTTTCCGGAGGTCGACGCCGCAGCTGTGGTTGGAGGCTCCTCAGTCGGACCGGATGTGCGAGAAGTCGTGCGACACTGGGGACCACTGCCTCTATCTGTCCGACGGCTGCCAGTTGGTATATCGCCTCGCGACGTTGCAAGCAGCAATTTAGCTTCATCAATTGCTTTTTCAAACGCAACTTGGACAGCCACCGACAGCAGGCGTGTTCTGAAACGAAACAAAACAAAAGAAATAAAACAAACAAAAAAACAAAACAAAACAACGGAATAGAACGAGAAAATTGCAATGAAAGAAATCTGATCTGCTGCTGCCATGCGGAAGTCTGGTGTGGTTCGATTTCTGCTTACGCTGCTGTGTCCGTTGTGGTGCACCCTACTCGACTAAGGTGGTAGTTTGTTACTTCGTCCAGTATCTGCGGAACAATAAGTAGGCGCAAGGAGTTGCACACACGCGAATGCACTTCAAAAGATCAAACGAAAACTATTAAAGGCAAATACCAACCACAGCAAAGCCACTGTTCAGGAGCAACGCCTACCGCAGGCTCATGAGTGGAGAGCGTCTGTAGAAGTTGTTCATCGCGAGGCCCGAGAATCTCCTCCAAGTCCAGCACGGATTTGTCCATAGTCTTCGCCACCTAGTCCCGTTATTAGAATACAGCACAGCCGTTGGGACGGTCTTCGTTCAAAGCAAACTGGCCAATATGCTACTGCAGACAACGGCAAATCTCATCCGTTTGGAACGCCTGAGGGCGCCGCTGAGTAAACACTGTCAACTCCACCTCCCTTCTGGCCCCAATTTTTGCCAGGATGTTGATCCGAACTCTCTCATGAGAACCGTGGGAGAATTTACTTCACAATCGAGGGTAAAGACGTCAGTGGACGAACAAGTTGCTCCCCTATCACCCTCTCCAGCGGCGTCCGTCAGAGTGAACTAACTGTGAATTTTCAAATTAATATCTGGCGATTATAGACGCAATCCTAACAAAAGTAATTGATTTTAGTGTTTGCACCCGCATTCGACAAGATTTCCTCTAAGTTATTGTGCCCAGTCCGCATGCAGCCCTGGAAAAAAACAGCGCCCATGCTGGGCGCCTCCTTCGGTACTGAGTCCAGAAGCTTGGCCTCCTAAAATAAAATGCTTTCTTAGAATATGAATTGCTGCAGCTGAAAATCGTGAGAGTCAGCAGTCTTGAATATATTAGGGGATTCCTGGCGAGCCGCCGACTCCTCTCACCTCGCGACAGGCAGTGAGTTTTGTTGCAGATCCCCTGTGAAAAGGACTATCTGATAATCCCTCTACATCTACATAAGTGTCTCTATTCGTAACTTTACAGTTTCGAGGCCTTGTGACAAAGTCAGCAGCGGCCTTGAGAGGGTGACCCTCCGTGGAACGTCATCAGCATCTTTTCTGCGCGCTCCAGTAGGGCCACTAGATCATTGGGCGCTTGTCGTAGTCAATCTTTCCTATACCAATGCGTAAGAAGAAGCTGCGTTAGCTAGCCGTTTACTTCGATAGTTCGCTGTGCATGCGTGTTGCAGAAATGGCGGCCTCTCCCGCCGACACTGTCGAACAACACATCGCGAACTTAAACAGCCTTACTCTCAATCAGTGCAGCGCACTTGCGAGGCGTACGGAAGCGGTACGTGACTAGGTAGACACTGTATCCTTGGCCGATTTGTGAGCACTGCAACGCAACCCTCAAGCATATTTCACGTAATTGCACAATTTGCCGCGTGCGTAGGTTGCGTTTTTGCCAACATAGTATCTTTCTTAGCAGTTGTAATTTGCAGTTCGTCCGTTTAGTTCGTCTTTGCGCAATGCTGCACACCTCCAGTGCAGTCTCCCCTATGAGCGAATGTGGTCCTTGCTATGCTCAGGAACTTCAAAATATATCGAGCCACTTATCGCAACTGCGAGTTGCTGCAGCTCGCCTTGCTGAGTCTCGAGAGGCGCTGACCCAGCTTGACTCCCACATACAAAGGCAAAAACAGAAGGGAGAAACGGCAGAAGTTCTCGTGCCTCTCACTGGTGCTCTCTACGCGAAGGTAGCATCAAAAAACACATTCTTGCCATATACACGTGTATCTATGGCGCTCGCGAAGATGTTGGAACTTGCCATAGGAGCAGTTGCTCTGAACATGCTTTGGCACATGCACTGGTTTGTTTCTTACGGGTGCGCAGGGTCGACTGCAGTGCGACGATAAAGTTCTTGTAGATATCGGTGCAGGGTACATGCTCCAGAAGACATGTAAAGATGCCAAGAAGGACGGAGAGAGGTGAACAGCGCGAGCTTTGTGGTGACTGTTGCACTATAAATGTTACCGTGGGCAACCAAAGCTCCTCTGCTCATTGGAAGCTTGTTGCTTTGGTGGTGGTGCCTTGTAGGACATTGAACCTTGTATCCGAGCAACAGGGAAAGCTGGAAAAAATGCTCAGTGAGAAACAGAAGCAGCTCGAGGTGCTTGTGGCAACGCTGAACCAGAAGGTATTGGAGAAGCAAGCTTCCGCTCAGGCTGCGGCTGCTGCTGATCAGAGCACTGCAGCGTGAATTCGTGTCAGCGTGGCAAGTTGCAGCCTTCATCTGAATCTCAACAGTCATTCACGGTCACGGCTGTTGGATATGATCTTTCAGGGCTTCTTGGGCTCTGCATTTCCAACCACTACTGTTTTGTATTCGAACTTAGCTCGCTTCTTCCTTTCAGAGGTTCTCTTGTTAAGTGAAGCTGCCAAGGTACGGAAAGATGCGGGTGCTTTCCGAAAAGCTATCTCCCGTGCTTCGGCATTGTGAAATGGTATTGTGGGTTAGCTTGGTTTATGCCTGGTTGTCTGCCGGTATTCTTCAAGCCATCTAGCCTCATCCGCAAGTGCATTGAACCTTGTTTCTATTCTAAGTGGAAACGTGCTGGGTGAAGGACTTCCTTGGTCCTGCAGCTTCCAAACTTTAATGCTTTTTGGACTTGTTCAGTTATGGAGGCATTCTTCTTACTTAAGGCGTGAGAATGCGAACAGGGATTGCTTACAGGGCCGGTGCTAGAACCACTTGCGTCCTGAGCTTACTTTAAGTCTCCTATGTACTGGCAGCTCTGTGGGAAGCTCTGTTGCCATATTTTGCGTACATAGGCAAACGGATGCGCGTTAGATTAAAAATCATTTGGGCAGAGTCTTCAGTCCCATTGTAAATTCACGATTCTGATGCTGCCATGAAGCAGTCTAGCCACTCTGTTGGGAGGGGGCAGGAACAACAGTACGGAGTTCGGGATAGGAATGCATCACGAAATGGAATTACAGAGACATACTGAGTCGGGACCTGCATATCCCTGTGCAGGCCCAATGTAATGCCGAGTCTGCACTTGCCGGTGCTCCCGTCGAAAAGCAGAACACAAGTCTGATTCTTGACACTCCTTTTCCCCGCAAGCCGACCCAGAGAGCAACTGCCCACAGCGGCGAGCTGTTCGTAAGATTCCGAAGCATCACCACATAACCATCTGCTTTTCGTTGTCATTTGGGACACAGATGGCCGCTGGGCTCCAGCTGACTTCGCCCTGGCTTCCGTGGCCTTTGGGGGATGACTCATGGGGTTAGCGCTAGAGCCAGAACGCAAAGAAAAGTGCAATTCTTCCTTGAATGCCTCCGTTACTATCGGAGTTCTGGAAAAAAGGTAAAATATCAGCATTCGACGGATCCGCACGACTCCCTTATCATCTGGGCCAGGCAGGTGCACGGGCGATGTGCTTCCAAAGAGCCCCAGCTGCAACAAGTAGTTCTTCTGCTTTCCTGAGCCATGCGATGGGGGGGGGTCCTGAAGCGAATCTAGGAACAGCATGAGACGCCATTGATGTAATGCTGCCGGGAGCGAAATGTCGTAGGGTTGAGGAGGCGGCGCTGTCTGGATAGCTTCGCCTCCACGGAACATAATTAGCCCCCCTTGGGCATCTTTGGTTAACGGAACATCAGAATCTTGTCGTTGCTGAAGGGCATCATTCTCAGCGCCGCTTCTGTGTTTCTGTAGAGTTACAAGGATATTGTCCTCATTTGAGCAGTCTGGCGCGTCTTCAGTGAGCTCATCAACTTGCCCACCCCCTGTGGCAGCTCCCTCCGTGTTCTGACAGGAGTTGTCAAAGGCTTGAAGCAGTTCTAGCAGAATGGGGTCTTTCATTAAGAAGCTCCCCTGGTACGGTATGCCAACAAAAACAGCACGGGAGCACATTTTATATGTTTAGTTGGCGGCGTGAAGTCCTTCAATTGGTTGCAGGTCAGTTTTAAGCCTACCATTGAGCCTTGCGTGTTGACAAAATATAAATAAAATAGCTTTGGTAAACGTCTTATTATTCCAATTTTAGTACCTAGTAACTTATTTAGTGGGCTATTAAGCACTATTTTAATGGTAGCTCCTTCCAGGTTATCTTCCTCTTTGCATTTGGTTAAATTTGATTGATTGAATGCAATAGCTAATGTGATAGAAGAACAACTGGAGCTACGGACTCCCCTTTAGTACGCTATTATCTTACTTACTAGCTATTCACGTACGGAGCTTTCTGAAGACAGCCTTACTTCATTGATTCTCTGCACTATCCTATGACTTTTACGATATAGACTTACTGTGAATAGAAGGGGAATCCCCTTATAGTTACTATGCTGTTAAGATTCTATTCACAGTAAAAGTCAACTGTACAAGATAGAAGAAACTTTAGAGTCTATATATTTTAGTATAAGTGTTAGAAAGTACCGTTTAATTTTTACAATTGCAGTCTCCATCTGTCCTTACCTGAACTGCGTCGAGAATGCCGGTCACAAAACAGAGCTTCCCAGCATCTGCACTGATTTGCTGGCCAGTCTCCCTTGCCAGTTCTGCTTCGAGCTGGATTAGCTCTTTTTCGGCTAAGTACAGTGAGTAGCAAGTGCCGCAAACGGGAGACTCGGCTGAGAGCTGCTGTTTTCTAGCCTGGTGGAAAAACAGTACTTCAACTCCCCTCTTGCGCATGTGGTGCTGAGCTTCCAGCATCATTCGGTGATTTAGCATGCGGTTAAGCGACTTTTTGCTCCGGCTTAGTCCACACATTGCGCAGACGGATGGCTGCGCTAGGGAAGCTTGCTGCCTCCGGAGCAAAGCAGCACTAGCTTTCAAGGCCCCATCATCGGGTTCATCATCATCATCCCTCTTGGTGGCGTCCAACTTCAGCGCAGAATCTACGCGAGGGCCAGACTGTCTCAATGTGAAGGATTTCACCTGTGCGTTCGTCAAACATCGCTGCAATCTGCTGCAAGGTGTTCCATATTTGCTGGTTTGCTCCAGTTTTTGTTACTACACTGCCTTCCGAACGCACCTGCAAGAAGTACATTTTGCCGTTCCATGCCTTGATGAGGTCCACAACTAATGCTTCCAACCACACCTTGAAGAGCGTCTGAGTCAGTAGCGTTAGTTTCCGGGCAATCTCAGATGCTTCAGCAAGGCTTGCCCCAGATAAGGTAAATACGTCAAATGTGCTGTTGGGGCCACCGACCGCTTGTTTTGATGGATCAGCATTTGTGTCTTCCTCATTATAGTAATAGTCGGCATCCCGTGGCCTTCGAACAGGAAATGCATTATCGCAGCTGACACAGAACTGTCCAGTGATGTCTAAGTTGGCGGCCCGACCCTCTTCCGGAGTCAGCTTGTTGACCAAAGTGAAACCGACAGGCATGCTGCCTGCGCGCCAAGCTGCCCTCGTCAACTGGCATCGCGAATGTTTCTTTCCATGAACAAAGACCTTCAGGAACCACGCACGATCCTGGTTGCGCAAATTTTCACGGTATTGGAATTCAGCAAGGAGACAACGTCACCCAATGCCGTGTGTGGCATATGTAGCGAAAGCCAATCAAAAGTGCATGTCTATGGAAATGTGGAGGCTTCATATTGCGTCAATGTGAAATTTGGTACAGTTCGCCAATGAAGAACCAACAGAAAACGCGGCATGGTTCTGGCGAGTGCTCCATAACTTGTGATGACGCACTTGCACTAGACGCTCCGATGAGGAGTCTGCTAGAAGAGAACTTGTGCTGGGAAGATCGAGTGCTTTCGTGATATTTTTGTTTGCTGCTGCGTAGTGAGGCTGCTTAACTAGAGCCGCCGGTGCGGCCATGACAGTTTCGATAGTGCGCCTCTGGTCAATGCGTTGCAGTTTGGGACTAGACCGCAGCCGCATTTTGCCACCAGGGAACCCAGCGGAGGCCAAATACAGTGCCGCATTCTTCTCGAAGAGCTTAGAAGCAGAGAAGTCTTCTTTTATTATCCACCCATTACAGGCTGCTTCGGGAAGTGATAGCTGCTGGGAGAAAGAGTTGTCCGATTTGAGGGCTTGGGGATTGTTTGTTATATAATAACACTCTGTAGACGTTGAGTACAGTGTGTCGGGAAGCAATACGTCAAGATTTTTGCATAACCGGTCTAAAAATGCTGGAGATTGACGTCGGCAGGCTATAAGCGCTTTCCACCATCCTGTGGCAGGCTGGGCGGGCAATTCACTATAGTATTTGGGATCGCTGTGCGCAAAAGTGAACCGAGATTCGAACTTATCACTGCGCGACTTCCTAGATCCATTGAGCATCGCTGCATGCTGTGCCGCTCCTCTCTTGAAACAAGATATGCTCGGTATATCTCGTTGTGATTTGCTGCTCCACGGTCTTTCCGGACTCGCGTCAAAGCGAGTTGTGCCTGTTTCCGGCCTCTCCTTACGGGGCTCATTTCGGCCCAACGGCAACTTTCCCCGTTCTCGATCGACGCGATCACTCAAGTTTTTTTTTTCCTCGGATCTCATCGCAGCCGTTTCAGGCGAGAGAGCTTACTTGTTAGTGGTACACCTCAACAGTAAGCAATAGGCCCGCTCGACGATACGGAACTTCGCTTGTCTTCCTAAGCCACCCTTCATTGCAAGTAGCTGCTCTTATACATGTGAGGGGAATAACCTTTTATATGATCTGTCACGGGGGAGAACACTGGCACGCAAAGCGTTCATTCTACAGCCAGCCCCATTGTAGACGGCTCTGTCAAGCGGCGGTTGTCGCATTTTCGGAGAGGAAAGAAACGCAATAACATGCGCAAAGTTAACACTGGACGGGCAAAATACAAGGAAATAAGCACCCAACAAAAGCTTTTCAGCGGAGCTTGTCCCTGTTTTAGGGAGCTCACCGAAGGGGTCAGCGGCCCGGGTCACTTTAGCTCCAAAAGTGCGAAGCGATTACTGCTAACGGAGGGTGTGTTTGGAGGAACATTCTTCGAATTTCAGAAATGATGTAGATGCGTCTGGTATATGCACATCTGAGTTCCATTTCAGGTTGGAAAATCGACGGAAACCATACACCCACAACTGCAGACGGCTCCAGCTTCACCCGGGTTGAAAATCACGGAAGCAATTAACCTTGCATTTCACTCATTGGAAAGCAATGAGTTTTCTCATTTACTGCATAGCCCTTGCAGGGAAGAGAAGTGTAAACGTTTTTGCCGAATCGCGGATTAGCAGATGACTTTCAACGTGGCTGCGAACTACAACAGCAGGCATCCCTGGTCACAGGTAATGTGAGGTCGCACTAGGAAATACGTGTTATTGCATTTAGGAACGAGCTTCTTTAGCGTTTCTATATGATATTGTGGGGTGCAGCCGCTGCCATTCCCAGTTGGTAAAAAGACGACAGTGGAGACGGCGAGTGACGGGAAATATATGAAGGGAAGATTCTACACCTGCTACACCTCTGGTTAGTTGCTGTTAACAGAGGAACCTAGGATGCTCGATGTTTTATGAACGTGTCGTGATCTCCCGTGGCTCAAACTCACACCGCCGGTGGCTCTCCGTGCACTGGATTAGTATATGCTGCGAGAGTTTGCTCCTTGAATGTCCGCTCCACGGATCAAATTCATCAATAAGAGTTGTACGGAGTAGGGCTGCCGTAGTTGCCATCACGGCCAGGCTTGTGACAAGCCCAGTTCTTCGTTTTGCGTGGAGATCCAATCCTGAACCATAACTTGAATTACGGCTTTTACAGCTGGTCACTTCAAACATCTCTTGCTGCACGGTTCCTTTGGGACTTAGGAGGGTTTTCCGTTCATTTTTGTTTGGCAGCAGCTGATGAAAGCAAGCCATCCGTTTTAGCTCGCTTCTCCTTAATTCCTGCGTGTGTACGACGGGGATTGCTGATGGATTTCCCACTCTCTGACGCAGGGGAAGTGAGGATAACCGTTCTAGCCCTGATATTGGTAGAGTTGTACTGTGTGCTTCTTGATCCGGTAGTCAGTAATCATAGTAGGATGTAATATGAGCCTTAAGGCCCTTTACATCCTCAGTGAAGCGAGCCGCAAGCCGTGCCAACGGGAGGACAAGAAGGGGGATTGGTAATCTCTCCACCGCTCGTTTCCTGTGGAATCAGCAGTTGTAAGGGCATGTTCCACGTCTCATTTACGCTTTGCAGTGTAGCGCCTAGTCCGAGCACAAATCATATGCGAGTGGTGGTGGAAATGTAGTCAGTTTTCAGGTGTCCAGCGGTTATTGAAATCTGTCTTCATCTCATTAATGGCGAATGTTGCAACATCTCTGCCTACCTCGAATATTCACGACAAGGTATATGTTTGCTCTTAATCCGGCGTCATACGTATTGACACTCAGGATCTTTACTCGTATACTGCACTCTAGGTTGCAATCCTCTGCACAAATGTGGGCTCGTTTCATGAGAGGGAGAGAATTGCTGACTGACCTCTTGTGCTCTGCCAAGTACACAATCGATGGCATATCAACCTTCATTTTCCGGAGGTAATTGTAGTTCCAGTTGCACCTGTTGCTCGCACATACTACTCATTTTACGTCGAGTCGAGGTGCAAAAAATATTTACCACAGGGCACAGCTATGGGCTCGACTGCTTTTGCCAGAGCACACCACAGAACTGCATTGGGGCTTCCGGCACTGTCATAGACTGCTGCTGCAACTGGGTGCTTTATGTGGCAATTGAGACCGATGAAACTGGCAATTGCACCACCCGAAAGGGCTCTGTCTACGTTGTGGATGTTGGGCACGCACGTCAGTGTGCCATCAACGGAGAGCATGTCCAATGGGTACAGTCTTGAACTGCGTTCGACGGTTTGGAATCACGTTACAAATTGTTATCCGCATACGACTGGCATTTGATGCCAGCATCCGCAGCCTTTTGGTTTGCAGGAAGTATTAACTGTACTGAGTGCATTTTGCTGCTCATGCGATACGAAGCCCATGGGGGGTTGCAGAAACAACCTAAAAATGTGTACCACCAAAATCCAAAATTTCACAGCCATATCCATCCGCCAAACAAAAAAATGTCACAGTGGTAAAAAGCCAAGGCCGGTCTTGTCACGAGGCGCCCAGAGAGGGGCCCGACTCCAAGTCGACGCCCGCTTCCTATCAATGCAAACTGCGAATGGCAGTTCCGCTCGCAAAGCTCATCTCTGATAAGCAAAAAGCGAGATCCCTCCTTGACCGGACACCAGTGCGTAGAAAATGACTTAGTAATTGCATTGCCGACCACTTGACGTAACAAACCGTGGAGTTCGACCCATCTACATCACTGACGAAGAACCGGGCTGAACCTCTGCATTGACGCGAAGCCCAAACTGTGCACGTCGAGGCTAGCTACGTGGGCCTGTTGGTGGCCTCCAGCTGCGTCCGGCGAGACACAGCATTAGAAGCTTCCCGTCAGTTGATTCTAACCAGCGGCGGGCCTGAAATTTCGAGCATCGCATTCGAACAGTGCATTTCGAACAGCTGCATTGGCAAGGCTGCCAGGCGAAAGACTGTGTACGCAACGAACCAAACAAGCGAGTGAAAAGGGCTGACCGTTTGCCTGTACGTCTGCAGACTAACCTGCGGAAACAGCTGGCCCTGTTCATCCATCAGGGCCCTGGAGGCTTGTTGGCGAGACATCTGGTACTCGTGCTGCAACAGCGCAGCTTTGCGACGGCATTCCCTCACTGCAAGTGCGGCCAGAGACCGCTGCTGATCATCAATCAGCTGCCTCAACGTTCGTTGAGGGCGAGCTACACACCTGCGTATAGTACGGTGTCCACTAATAATTCTGGCACCATGTGCGCTGTGCATGCAACCACACAAATGGCCCTTCCTGGTGCAGCTAAGGCTGTCGTGGCTATTTGCATCCGAGCCACAATTGTTGCAACCACATCCTGGTATGGTTGATGTCGCTGTAGTCTCTCTAACAGCACAAGATCTCCGTGATACTGCAAAGCGGAAGTAACGATGCCGCATTATAAGCGTCAATGGTCGGCATATGACGAAGCACGCTGCTATCGACAATCGGAAGAGCAGAGCTGCCAGGGATATTGTTTGCTGCTCCCCACAAACCACAGGACCACATGCTTCTGCAGGGTCTGAGCGATTCACTTGGCAACATCCAGCTGTACTTTCGGATTCACGCGTAACTGCCTCCTCCGCTTTTCCGTGCTGCCTCAAGACGTTGTGTCCAAACGACTGGATGGCTGCTGACTCCCCTAAATCTACAGCTGTTGCTGTGGCGGCAAAAAGTTGCAGAAACCTGCGCCACCGAGTCGACGGTGGAGCGGCACACAAAGGAGCTGTTTCGTTGATCAGATATGCAAGCTGCTCCAGTGGAGACGATCGACTAGCCTGAACTCCTGTAGCAGATGGAGATGCTGCAGAGCGAGAAATCTCCCCCAGTACAAGGAGCCGGCCACCCAAACCTTCGACAATCTGAGGAAAGAAGTTGAGAGACCATGAATATATAAGCCGTTAGGATTTGGCTCTCGTGGCTCTGGGATATGGCGAGAGTACGTGACGTTGAAAAGTGTGATAATCAGGCTCACCAATACAAGCTGAGTGTCCTTTCCAGACGGGACGCGGTGGCAGAGAGCTCTCTGAAAGGGAACGAAACAGACACTCACATGCACCGCTAAGTGCTACGGATTAAGACACAAAAATGGACTCTTCACCGCACGCAGTGACTTACGTCAGTTGACCCCAGTAGCTCTTAAGGCGAAGTGGTACGCAACCTACGTGGGTACTGTCAATAGAGAAGACCTCTGACGGCTCAGCCCTTTGCATGATGTAGGAGTCAACAGACTCATGACCATCGCAGGCAAGGAGCTCCTCAGGAGCCTTAAATGTGACAAGGAGCAAATGAGGGGGAGGCTTCTGTACGTGCTTTCGCCTCAACACAGAGACTTCAGTTTCTACCATGCGTCCTTGAGGAGTTTCTTCAACCACTCTTTCTGGTTGGCTGTTGCTGTTGTTACTGGTTACCAGTTGTTGCCCATCCTCCATTTCAGGCTTAGGCTCAACTGAAAGAAGCATAACGTAGCGATAACGAGGCACTTTGAGCCACTTGCTAGTCTTCGTGAGCCAATCGGCAAAGAGGCAATGAATAACACATCCCTCGCTCCTAAGCGGGAGAGGATGGCCTGCTGTTCCAGGAGTTGCAAGTGGGTCTAGCGGTCGCCTGCAGAAGGGGCCACCAGACCCCATAAGGAGCAGTTGCAATAGTGCCGCATGCAGGTGCCCGGGCAAAGCTGCAGCCGACCTGAAGCCTAGAAGTTCGAGCACCTGATACCGCAAGACATGTGGAAATGATTCAAATGAATGCAAGGAAAACACTCCCACAATTTCCTGAAGCCGTCACAAGGACAGTGAAGCATATGAGTAATCATCAAAACGCGGCAGTCATGAATGGAGGCATGCACCGGGAAGCGCTGAGCGCATACCCGAAGTGCAGCGAGTTGACGCTTACCATTTTGGCCTTTGGATTAACGCTATACAGCCCCGAGAAAAGGTCCTGGATCACCTTGTTTCTGTCTCCAAATACCCCTGTCTCCATACCTGCTCCTGCTGCTCATGAAATCAGAGGTGGTGAAAAGGCTCACGCCTTCTTTTATAGGACGTTCCTGAACCATCAAAAGTCAGGATACAATCGATTGTCCATTAGTTGACACCTTACAGAGAACTCTAAGTAAGACTTTGAATTTTGACTCATTAGACAGTTCTTTGAATCAACCATGGAGAAGGCCGGATGCTGCTTCGGTTCTTGAACCCCCTAGACAATCCTCTTTAACTGGTTGAGAGTTACCAGTGGTGAAACAGTTAAGAAAAGATACCATAGGTGAACCATAATATTTATCCTCCTCAAGCAACTACGAGCGTGGAGATCGTGAATAGACTATCGGCAACTTCACACCCTTCGGAAGAGCAAAGCGATGATACCAAGGCGTGCTCAGCTCCGAAGTACAAAAGCCAACTATAAGCATGTAGTACAAGAAAACAAGCAGATTGTATGACGTTTCAGGAGCAACTAGGAAGGTTAAACGTTACCCCCCTGAAGGGCAAGGCACAGGGCAACGCTGGGGCTGATGGGGTCGGTGTGTTAGCGCGTTGCGTTCGGCTAAAGGAAGCGGAAGGTCCAGCATGGTCAAGTTATAAATGTTTTAAATCTACACATACCGCAGTACAAATGTGAATTAAACTTGTATCATATTTTGTTGTTCCTCCTTCCCAAGTTTTTGGGGGAATTGCGCAGCCTGCTTAAGCGGCTCGGTATTGTAGTGCTCAGCTGGCCAACGCTGTCATTACGTGTGCTTCCTGACAATACCGGATAAGTGCACACTCTATAATCAAAAACCTAATTCTACGATTCTCGCTGCAAACACTAATAATCACAGTTAACAACCAGAATTATGATCGAGTTCCTATTATTGGTCGGAAAGAAAACCCCGAATAATAAAACTGATGCCCGACCCTCGCCGAGGACCGGGGCCAGGGTACGAGCGTCGGCCTCACACCCAGCCCCGAGTTACGTGTCGGCCGGCGAGCACTCTGATCACATTAGGCTGTTTTCCTATCTAAAGTGTCTTAATCCCTGATATATTGCAGAGTATTCATTCCTTTCCATGATAGCAGGCCTCTAGAGGGCACTCCTGAGCTCCATTGTAGTGCCTGCGCACTACAGTGGCCTCGGAACTTCTACCACTATTACAGGTGGGCCCCTCGATCGACCGGCGCCACCGACCTTCTTACGCGCAATAGACCTTGAAAAGCAGCAAAGACAACTGAGAATATAGATTTACCAAGGATGCTAGATTTCGACAGCCACGGGGTTTTATTTAGGACAATATATCACCCGCTTAACGACTACCGGCAATTAAAGGCACTGGTGCTGAATGGCACTGAAAGCGCCTTCTTGATCTTATCCGAGAACTTTTCTGAACTGCAATGGAGCCAAAATGCTTAAGTTGAGACTTCCTTAGGTGCAACTGACATCTTTCCCCAGTACCCAAACCACCGGAGCTCAGCTGCTCAAGTGACTGGAGCTGCGAGTGAGGAAGCCGCCTGTCTTGAATTGCAACGCACGTTGCAGCACCCCAAGGTGCAGAAAGGTCCCAGATACAAGTATAACAAGCCTTATTGGCTGTATGTGCAAACACTGTTCGCTGTTGCTGAGAACAACCTGTCAGCAAAGTTTCACTGGCGCAGCGTTTGTCTGCTAGCGCCTGGTGCTCGCTTCACACAAATTTGTCCATATATTTTACTACAGGCAACAACTGACACTGGCTAATTTTGTTTCCTCCCTCCGCCCCTTGGGATGTCCTAAACTTTTGCTGAAAGTACGCGCAGAAGTTTTACAACGGTTGCATATCTACAGCTCTGTTGCTTCAGAACGTGTACATTTGTAACACGGTTCCAGATGGGTATTATAAGGTGCAATTTAGCCAAAATAATTGAGTTAAGGATTCCCTAAATGTATATGTAACTGACCTCCGTTCGCAGTCTCCCGGCATTCTGAGCTCGGCGATCACAGTGATGGAAATGCAATGCACCTTGCTGCACCTCAGGGTTCAGGAGGGCCCCACATACAAACAAACAAGCCTTCATGCTTACATGCGTGAAAGCTGTAAGCTATTGTTGAGAATGTTTGCTCGCGGACTGTTGTTCTACTAGGGCTGGGTGCCGTAGTCCACTGCACAGTTGCCAACATGGAAAAGAATACATCTGCAAAATCGGACAGGCAGTGCCATGCTCACCCTCACTGCTCCCTTCATGCAGCCAGAAGATTCCCTCGCGTGCCATTTTCTGCCCTGAATTTGGATGTACTGGCTTTTAATTCCACCCTTTTCTGCTCAGCTCAGGTACTATTCGGCTATTTCTGCTGCATCGTTCATTTGCGTCTCCGTGCAGCACCGCCTCCAACAACTACCCAACAACTTGCTTGCTGATGTTGCGGAACGCCCTGTCTTCCGCCAGATGTGCAGAAAGCCGCTTCTGGAAGTGGAAAGCACGTCGAACTCCGCCGCTTTCGGGTCGGTGATATTTTTCATGTAGCTTGTTGGGTTTGGCAATATGAACCTATTGGTGCCTAAAATAAGAAACAAGATTGCACCGGTTGAGCGAACCACGAGCAACCCTACAGCTGGTCGACGTCCCAGGCCTTTTAGCGAAGGGGAAATGACGTATGTGGCGTTCAAGCAACTCGCTGTCGACAGAGTAGGGAATCCCAGCAAACGGAATATTTGGCAAATCAAGCCGCCTAGTCTCCTCCAGTGGTGCCTTCTCACCACGACGTTGCTGGCACTCTGCAGGTACACTCCGTGATATGTACTCTCAGAGACTGTGTCAATGAACGAGCTGGGAGTCTGCTTCTCGTCGCTGTAACTTCAAGCATCAGATCCATTTTGCAATCTGTGAAGTAGCCACAGTAACTCCTGCCGATTGGTACAAACTTAGATAAGCACTAAAATTTCTCGAGGAGGATCCATTTTGGCGGATACCGTCGGTTAGCTCCGTCGCTGCGTCGCACGTTGTGTAGATGCCCTAAAGCTTTCCGTGATCACTGTCTTTGTTTGCCTGGGGGAACTTATCAAAGTCTTGCTTCTGCAAATCCCCGTTTCTCTGCAACTGCCACCTGATGGTAGTGTTTGTTGCACAAGAAGTAGGCGCGCCGTTCGATACATACCCCAACACGGTGGACGCCGAGTTCCCAGACAGTTGTAGGTTTACGCCTTTCATCCCTTTCTAGATGGGGCTGGCATACAGGCTCATTATCTGTAGGTTCACTCCCCGGATCGTTCCCAAACCAGCTGCTCGTATATGGCGTTTTTCTCCCTTTGAACCTGTGAAGTTAATCGTTACACGTTATAGTTTCCCCATCCCCAGGCGATTACGCATTTAATTTTTTCCGGGGGACCGCCCCGAAACGAAAAGTTCTTACAGGCGTTGAGAGTCTAAGTTGGGCTTCTGTTCGCCCACTACTAATACGGCTCGATGCAGCACTCTATAGACTGTTTTCCTTACTCAGGCTGCTTCAAGTCTGCCATGCTGTGGGCAGATGCCAACCAAGGAGTGATCCTACACCCTAACGAGGGTCGGAAAGCTTTTCATAGTCCGACTGTCCTCCGGAAAAGCAGCACCCATGCGCAGATACAGCCGCCATCGTCGTGCCTCCCCCGCTAATAGAGAAGATGCGAATATCAACCGCCAATCTTCTGGTTCTTGCTGGAGGCGAAAATACAGCTTTAGGGAAGCAGAAAAGTCCATCACTGCCCCCGCATCGTAGGAAGCATCGTATGTGGATAGCCGGCAGTGCCGCCCAGGTTCGAAGTTTGCCGCGACGAGTGGATTGCTGTTGATGTGAAAACGTTTCTAGTTGGGTGTATTGGAGGAATTGGGCTTAGTTAAACTGGATAAGGTTCTCAACTGTTGGTCCACATGTCAGAACACTGGCAAATATCCTTTTTGGAAGCGATGTAAGAGACAGATTTGACAAATATGTTGGAGGACTTCGAAACAAGATTATATGTAATAGGACTTCAGTTACTATTGACGGCTCTGCAGCAGGATGCCCTGCTGTGCGGATGAAGTTCTTGTTAGCACCCCATATTTCACGGGGTACACGTGCTAATAATGCGAGACACGGGTCCAGGATCGTATCAAAGGACTATTGTGCGCTGCACTAGAGCCAAATTACTTAAGTTTTGACTTTCATAGGTACAGCTGACCCCCTCTTGCAATTTCCCAACGTCCTGACGTCGGCAGACAAGTGCCTTGAGCTGAGGGCGGTGAGCCATCCTGCAATGAATTGCAACAAATCTTGTTGCATCGCAAGGTGCAAGCCAGCCCCACGTGCACGAACAACACACACACTTGGCTATATGCACAAACCATGGAAACAGTTGTTGATGAAATGCACCAAAAACTTTGCTTACTTAGCGTTCGTCTAGTAGGGCAGGGTAATGGTTAATTACCCCGCTTCCGACGGAATTGTCAACACGGAACACAACGTGCACGGCCAAACCAGCCCTCTTGGCTATGTGCAGTAGCACCACAGGAAGCTGTTGAAGACTTCTGCTAGCACTCCGGTTGCCTACCCTGCCCATTTAAGAGCTGATGCGCCATGTTCGGATGGAGCTGCCTTGGGCAGAATACGCTACAGCAATGGAGCAAGGTTGCAGAGTCGTGCTGTACAGCATTTCTAGCTTCATAAGCACAATCAGTCTGGTTTCCGCCTTAGTCCTAAAAATTTGCATAGCAAAGATCCAATCAATTTCGTAAAGCAATCGATTAAATGTGTGCGATACCGTGGGATTGTTCGTACTCCTGCTGCCCCCAAGAAAACGGTAGGCTGCTAGAATGAATGAAGGGATTTCAGGTGTGCTACACTATGTAACGGTTCTTCACCCATTTTTCAGAAAGGTGTAATGGAAGTGTGAGCCACAGCAGCCCAACTTTTAGATTATCTAGGCGGCGACGGCACGATGCACGAAAGGGGCGTGATCGTCCCGCGTGCTCACCGTTCCACTCCGTGACCTCTTCATTGAGGAAGTGAAGTGGTTGGGCACGCGCATTCTAATGTGTTTTCATTTTGCCTGCTTCTGAAAATTTACATCGGTATATATTCTGAAAATGACATAGCTGGGCAAGTGACACGTTCGTTTACTTTAGATGCCGTTTGCCAAGCACAACTCTGACTGCCGTATTGCGCCACACCCAAGCTTTTTCATTGAATGCCCGCGCCTTCTTTGTCTAATCTGCAAAGTGGATAAGACATCAGCTTAACATAGTAACGTAACCTCCACAAAACGAATCCTCTATCTCACCGCAGTGTTCCCTTCTCTCCAGGGGTTCCCGCCCGTAAATGAATCCGCGGGACACACAGAAAACTACACTACAACTGGGCGCGACCATTTTTTGAGTGCAGTAATGCACTGTGACTTCCATGAGAGTGCTGTATAGCAGACTTGTATTGAAAATTTTGCCTCACCAATGCGGAAATGCTTCCGAGTAAAGCGGGCGAGACCACTCCTCTGCAATGGGGAAAATCGGAAACCTCATTTATTACCTCATTGTCCCGTGATATAGGCGAATCAATGTACTATTCTTCCACTGTGGAATTATCTCAATCTGACAGGGTGCAGCCGTCCCTAAGAACTGAATTACGACGAGGGCGACCCCACCACAAGCTCTCCACTGCTGCTTCGCTATTGGCCTCCACAGTTGCCCTTGTGGTAATTGTTACTTGGCTGGCATTCTGCATCACGCCTCGAGGCACCAGAAGAGCAACACGGCTGGTGCAGCGACATTTGTCCGGCCGCGGGGAAGATCCCGACCTTAACAGCATTTTGGAAGGTTGTTTGGAGTTAAGGGAGGAGCTTGGCCTCTCACAGGATATTTCGGAGCCTGATGAGCCGCCAGAAGCGAAGAAGGCTAGGCTATTTCTCATGTTGAGGGAGTCGGGGGAAGCGTTTGAACGCAGGCAAGGGGACAATTCACATCTGTTGCCTGCAAGGGACTTCGGGCCCTCCCAGGGATTTTTTGCATATGGACCGGGCCAGTTAGTTGAAAGGTCTGCATTGGTGGCATCCAAGCGTGAAGAATCAATCTCTGATTGGGCAAGCAGACCTACTGCTCCTGCTTTAAAAAGGAGATATGCTCCAAGGGACACTGACGGTTCGATAGCAGGCTCTTCCCCGTCACTGGTTTCTCTCCTGCATGTTCCGTCAGTAAAACCTTCAAGTAGCCTTGCATCCGATTCTAGGGGCATGACAGGCACTGATAACTTAGGTGTAACCCCTGAAGACTGGATACTGGAAGATATAGGTCAACATGCCCCACAAGGATGGGACGTGGTACCAAGAAGAGGAGAATCAGCATATGATTTCATTAAGCGCACGTTACTTACGGGCCCTTCAGCATATTCCTCAGCAAATCGTGCACCAGTATTGCCAGTGGCATCATTCATACCCAATGTTCAAGTATTTGGTGGGGCTGCGAGCGGCGCCACCTTTACTGGTGTCGAGCAGGGTGTATACGAACACTCAGTCCAAGCAGCGACGTTGGTGACCGCAAATGCTCAGCAAAATTATGTTGGCGTTGCACAGCCTTCAACTTTCGTCCGTCAACTGGATGCAAAGACAACTGCAGAATTAGCGCAAACTCCCGCAGAAAGGGTCCATCTTCATCCTTTTGTGAGGCTTCCACATGTACTTCCGGAAGATATTACGCAGGTCTTTGAGGGGGCTCGAGCTTTGTCAAGTAAAGTTCCTGCGGGCAGCCCAATGAAAAACTTTAATTCGATGCGAATGTTATTTGCTAAGCCTTCTCTAACCGCCCAAGACGTAAAGCAGTTGATGGATGATTGTAGGTGCTTGATCGCCTATGCGTGCACGAAGCTAGCTGGCTCCCTTCGTAAACGTAATGCGTTCTACGTTGTTAGGCGACTGGCCACAATGTTCATGGTATTTGATTACGTAGTGAGTACGATCGAGCTCTTAGGGGATAAAATGGATACCAAAAGCTGGTGGGAAAACTTCGTGGGACGATTCTACACAAATTACGCCTTTGAAAACAAGGACAAAGTCTCACGTGCCACACAAGATTTGGGTGACCTTGCGTGCCGTTTAAGTTCTGCGTTGGCTATCTACAAGACGGGAATGCGACCAAGTCTTGGACATATAATTGCATTGAAGAGAGAGATCTTTACCAACTTGAGAAATGACAGCATTTTCCACAATCCTTCCTGGACTCACTGGCAGATGGATGACGCTATCTTCAGCCGAGTTAACGCGAGCACTTAGGGGTAGACCCGATTCGTGATTCGGCGATCCGCATGCAGGCTAGAAACCGCCGTGCCTGCTTTCATGGGATCGAAGCACCAAGGCATTTCTATCACTTGAAGTGTCTGTAGCCACAGCTCAGCCCTTATGCTGCTGGCGTGTGTGGAAAGACTGGTGGTCACCAGCCGTTTCCTTGCTGGCACACTGATGCCTGCGGTACGAGCTTTGCTGGGACCGAACCGGAACGACTTTTTTTTTCTGCTGGCGTTGCTCGTCACCAGTAGCCTCAAACCTTCTCCTTGCTGCACAGTGGGGCCTTCTGTAAGCTGAGGAAGGCCGAATATGCATCTGGCCCATGCATGGGTGTGTACGGCGTCGATCTACCTGTTATTCAGAGTCCTAGGGGTGGCGGTAGCGCCAGAAAACAGCAGTGGAGAAGACAGTGCATGCAGTCATTTCACGGTTACTACGAAAACGCTGCCCACACACCAGAAAGCTTGCCCTAGGAAGCAACGCGAGAGAGTCGGCGACTTGACTATCCAAGAAGTACGGCAATAGGAGATAGCATACGACACGCTAATTACAAGTCGGGTCGCTGTTGCTGCTGCGACAAGCTATGCTGTCAAGCAGTTCGTATCGACTTTACGCCGTCGACAGTATCATCTGATATCCACCGCGTTTTTCAGCCTCCATCTGTCTACGGGCTGTACTCATGCAGCCCAAATCTGGGCATACACGAAGAGGGGATGCTATGAGGAATTTCTGTTGTTGCTTGGTTGAATACGCCAGGCCTTTGCTGCTTTTCAGCGGATGAGTCACAGTCTTGATAACATGATCAACTGATGACAAATTATCGGTTCGAGTAAGAATGCTAGTAGAAAGAACCAGCATTTGTTTGTCCTAATGCATAGTGCCGAGATCACACAGCAGAACTGAGTGCTGTGCAGTTTGCTTTAGTGCATCCCCTTTTGGTGTTCGATACAGCGCGGAGGGAAAAGTTTTTCTTGCCAGGCGTGCCAAAACCTATCAACGCTTATAGTATACAAGAAGGGGGCCAGAAACAGTGTAGGACGAATGACATGGAATATGCATGGCCCTTAGACGATGCGGCATTTACAGTCCACCTAAACAGGACGGTGGGACTAGAACGACGAGTCCAAGAGACTATTTATTTTTGATAAATAGTCTCTTGGATCTTTTCATTGCAGCCCGGTGTGCAACTACATTTTCATGCGAAGAAGAACAATCAGCGGAGCACTTTGTCACCTCAGATGCGAAGCCGATGCATGGAAGGCAACACGACCCCCGCAACAGCTCGTGCTGCAGCTGCTGCCCGCAGCACCAGCACTGAGAACCTGACCAGCACCGGTCGAACAGCCAATACGCTGCAAAGCCATTGCTGGCATGCGCAATGACTGCTAGTTGGTGGTTCTGCATATGCCCTTATGGCTGGAGGTAATGGAGCAGCATCTACTGCCGCCAGGATACCAGCTTAATACGCTGCCTACTTTCATGTTGGTTTAATGCTGCTGAAGCACTTTGCAAAAGACCTCTATATTCCCCGTACCCATACCAGTGTTCTGACCCTCACATATTTTTGGTGCTGTCGGTAGTAATAATAAGATGGAGGATGTTTTCTTTGCCGCTAGTGTGGCAGAACAGCTAGAGGTACAGCAGGCCGTCACTGTATATGCAATATGATTGAGCTCTCCACCTGATATCAAACTGGAACGTACTGAAGTACGGTCGTTGCAGCAGCGTAGCACTTTGGAGTTGCAGATTTCGAGCGAATGCATTTGCATCTACTACAAAGAAAAGCAATTCCAAGCGAGTAGGAGGCGAAGGCTCTGACCCGTTTCGCGTTGTTCTGGAAGGCCTTTTAACGGGGAAGCAACGAACAAGCTTTGGATCACGATACTGCGATATTGCTCTATTTTTCTGTCATGCATAGCCAGGGGTGCTACAGGAGAATTCGTTCCCACTAACGTGTTGGTCATAAGCGGCAAGGCAAGTAGAGTTTGGGAGAATACAAATTAATTGGTGTTAAGTCCATGTTGCGCATGTAGGCGCAAAATTGTTTCGTGAGTAGGGTGCGCAGCATAAAGTCAAAGAGAGGGTGAGACGGATTGCGTACGTAACACTCCCTTTGGCTTTTCCTTGTTGCTGAATGCACGAGCCACAGCGGGAAAATCCCATCACTTGTGAGAGCAAGTTCATTCGAAACGTTGGAAGTTCGCACTCTAAGATTCTCTGGAGGAGGTCCTCCTAAAGTGTATGATGTAGAACGTGTCTGCAAGTGGAATAATTCTGAGTTAAGCTATACTTTCTCCCGGTTGTATGAGGTAATATGAGAAATTTGGAGTGCCGGTTTTGTTCGCCCACGTAGTGTATTCTTCTGAGTTTGTGTTCCCCTACCGTAAGTCAGATGCCCTTGTAACAGCTGCATCTCCACTGTGTCTTTCATTCTGAACCGCACTTTTAAACACCGCCCGTAGTTTGGCAATCTTCGGTAAGATGGGCTAGTCCCTCTGGCATCATTTCCCTGGGACGACTTTCCTACTTCAGGAACCTGACAATGGAAGTTTCTGTTTTAATCCTTCGTTTTAATTAATTCAAATGGATAATTGATTTATTCAACACCTTGCTTGGGTTAGTCATTTCTCCTTCTCCCCCCCCCTCCCCCCCCCAAAAGAAAAAAACAGTGGCCTAATGTAGGACAGAATGGACGGATCTTACCACCGTATGATTATCTAAGTTCCTAATCGCATGTTCAACGTATTATAATGGAGGTATAAACATAATATACCCATCCATTTCACTCCCCATTCAGGGATGCATACGGTGCTGCACGAGGTGGGCGAGATATTCCCACCCGCTCACTCCACTCCGTAACCTCATCGAGCAAGTGGACACACCTATCTAAACCGATTTTGTTCTGCTTGTCTGTGTAAATTTACATAAATATATATAAATTTACATCGATATACTTCCTGTAAATGGGAAGGGTGCGTTGTCGATGCACACATTTCTGTTGACTCTTCCTGTCGGGCGCCAATCCGACTGGCGGAATGCGCCCAAAGAAGCTATTTCATAGACTATACATTAGCCTTCGTGGTCTGCTTTGCAAAATGGATAATATACCAGCCTAACGGAGTAACTTGTAACAAACAAAACAAATCCTGCGCTCCAACGGTGTTTTGCCCGCTCTCCACCGTCCCCACGAGTAATTCTTGCCACGCGCAGATCTGATCCCGGAGAGCACACCAAAAACTGCGTGTAACTTCCCCGGAAGCATTTTGGTAATACCTCACCAGTTCAAGGTGGTCTCTGTAAAATCCTTGTAGTGCACACACGCATGCTGAACCGTTTGTCGTGGTAAAGTGGAAATGCCTCCTGGTGCAGTGCGGGCCACATACACCCCAAAGTGGAGGAGCGAGCAGGATCAATTCATTTTCTCGCCATCCCCCGGAGAAACCGTCCCAGTAGACGGTGTATCCTCTGTGGAGGCGTCTCTGTCGGACAACCTACGATTCACCCTGGGGAGTGGACTACGACGAGAGCGAACCAACCACAAGCTCTCCATGCTTTCTCCGATACTGACTTCCATAGTTGCGGTTGTGGTAATTGTTACTTGGCTGGCATTCTGTATGCCCAGACGAGGTGGCAGGAAAACAGCACAGCTGGTGCAGCGACATTTGTCCGGCCGCGGGGAAGATTCCGACCTTAACAGCATTTTGGAAGGTTGTTTGGAGTTAAGGGAGGAGCTTGGCCTCTCACAGGATGTTTCGGAGCCTGATGAGCCGCCAGAAGCGAAGAAGGCTAGGCTGTTTCTCATGTTGAGAGAGTCGGGGGAAGCATTTGAACGCAGGCAAGGGGACAATTCACATCTGTTGCCTGCAAGGGACTTCGGGCCCTCCCATGGAGTTTTTGCACATAAACCGGGCCAGTTAGTTGAGAACTCTGCATTGGTGGCATCCAAGCGTGAAGAATCAATATTTGAAGGGGCAATAAGGCCGCCTGCTTCTGCTTTAAAAAGGAAATCTTCGCTAGGGCACACCGGCAACGCGACTTCCGCAAGCTCGTCTCCAGGAGCTTTTTCCTACAAGAGCTCTCCGTCAACGGCACATGTAGCAACTAGATCAACGTCTGATTCTAGGGGTAGGTCAGGCACTGATAACGTAGGCGTAACCCCTGAAGACTGGATACTAGGAGCTCTAGATAAACGTTCCCCACAAGGGTGGGACCAGGGACCCAAAGGAGGAGGATCCCCACATGATTCCCAACAGCAAGCGAATCCAGCACGTTCTGCAACAGATGCTCTATCAAATCGTCCAGCAGTATTGCCAGTGGCATCAATCATACCCAGTGGTAAAGAAGCTGTTACATCCACTAGCCAGGGTGTATACGAACACTCAGCTCAACAGCAAAAGCTCCGAACAGCAAGATTGGTGGCCGAAAATGCTCAGCGCAGGGAGTACTTGGCGCATGATGGTGGCGCTTCACAACCTTCAAACTCCATCAGAGATGTGCTGGCAAAGCCAATTTCAGACGCCGCACTGAATGCTGAAGGGATGGTCCTCTTGCATCCTTTTGTGCGGCTCCCACATGTACTTCCGGAGGGTATTACTCAGGTCTTTGATGGGGCTCGAGCTTTGTCGAGTAAAGTTTCTGTGGGCAGTCCAATGAAAGATTTCACTTCGATGCGAGAGTTATTTGCCAAATCTGCGCTAACAGTCGCAGACGTAGAACAATTGATGCATGATTGTAAGTGCTTAATTGCCTATGCGTGCAAGAAGCTAGCTGGCTCCCTTCATAAAAGGAACGCTTTCTACGTTGCACGGAAGCTGGCCACAATGTTCATGGTATTCGACTACGTGGTGAGTACGATCGAGCTCTTAGGGGATAAAATGGATACCCACAGCTGGTGGCCACAGTTTGTGAACAGGTTTCAGACCAATTACCTTTTTGAAAGAAAGATTAATACCCAGCATGTCACTGAAGGTATTGCTGCGCTTGCGCAACGCCTAAGTGCTGCGCTGGCTATCTACAAGACGGGAGTCCGACCACCTGGTGAAATTATAATCGATTTAAAGAGAACGATCTTCACCAACTTAAGGAGCAGTTGCATTTTCGGGCACCGCTCTTGGATTCAATGGGAAAACGATGACACTCTCTTCAGCCAAATCGGAACAAGCGCTCAAGAATGAACCTGAGTTCTGGTTAGACAAACTGGAGCGAGTCGTGAATGCTGTCCTGGGACTCAACCAGCGCGGCATCTTCGCCACTGGCGTTGACTCTACCCATAACTCCGTACCTCCTCTGTTTGCATTTCCGAGACTAGTGACCAATAACCTTTTCCATGTTGCACACTGCTACCTTCAGTAAGCTCAGGATTGTCGAATATCCATGTGTAAAAGACACTGGAGCGTACAGCGCCGACCTACAGGCCACTAAGAACCGTAAAAGTGATGGTAACACCAGACAGCAACAGTGAAAAAATAGTGCTAAAGTTCATTTTATGATGGCTACGAACATGATGCCCAGGTTTCAGAAAATTTTGCACTAGCAACCGGAGAGCGTTAGTGAGTAGACCATGCAAAAAGTCCGGGAGCAGCAGTTAGTTAATTGAAGCAGCGCAGTTCAGCTCTATATTGCTACGAAGATCCCAACATCTCCTGATAACCAAACTGTAGTTGGTGCATGGATTGTATGTATTTTCTATTCGGCAAACTCTAGGATGCATGAGTGGGGCTGCGTCATACCATGTGCTGATCGATCCCCCCGCTTGACCTTCAGATCCAGCAGGTACAGTTGCTCCGCTCATCCATTCAAATATTTTTCACGGTATATGCCTTCATGTATTTGCACAAATATGACCTCTGGGAGTGAAGACGCTGGATGTTTGGTGCACAAGTTTCTTGCCGACCCTCCCAGCACCGCCGCCGGCTGTCTTCATGTTCCGAAAGGAACCTGTTTCATTGATTACAGCCACCTTCTTTCTTCATTTGGTTTAAAGGAAGAGAGTCCCGCTTAATCAGTCAATTTGAATTCTTACAAAAGAATACCGGAGCCTCACCTCAGTGCTGTCTTCTCTCCACTGGTCCCCACTCTCAATTCCTGTTGCAGTTGATATGGTCCCGCAGGACAATCCGAAAACTGCCCAAGCGCTTGGCCTTGGTATTTAAAAGTGCATGAGGCGGATATAGTGTCTGTAAGACCCCTGTTTTGCAGCCCCCTACGGAAGATTTTGCCTCACAAATGCGGAAATGCTTCCGAGTGCAGTGGATGAGGCACACCCAGCAAAGTGGGTTAATACACGTAACCCACTGGACTTGTCATTTTCCAACGATACAGCCGGTTCATTGGACAGTGGACCATCCGTGTGGGAATCTTCGTCCTTCACGCGAACTGGATTGCGAGGAGGGCGGACCCACCACAAGCTCTCCACCGCAGCTTCGATATTGGCCTCTACAATTGCCCTTGTGGTAATTGTTACTTGGCTGGCATTCTGTATGCCCAGACGAGGTGGCAGGAAAACAGCACAGCTGGTGCAGCGACATTTGTCCGGCCGCGGGGAAGATTCCGACCTTAACAGCATTTTGGAAGGTTGTTTGGAGTTAAGGGAGGAGCTTGGCCTCTCACAGGATGTTTCGGAGCCTGATGAGCCGCCAGAAGCGAAGAAGGCTAGGCTGTTTCTCATGTTGAGAGAGTCGGGGGAAGCATTTGAACGCAGGCAAGGGGACAATTCAAGTCAGTTGCAGGCAGGAGCTCGCAGGGTCTCCCGTGGGTTCGTTGCAAGTAACGAGAACAACGCAGTGGAGGACTCAGCATCTGTTTCCTTGTTGACTGAGCCCGAATCTGAATTGTCGACACGTCAATCTGTTGCCGCCTCAAGGGGAGAAAACGCACAAACGCACAGTACTGGCACGTTGTCACCGAGCCCCTCTTCTGAGCTTGCTTCTTCGCTGAGCTCTCTGCCGTCTCCATCTGCAGAAACTAGAGTGGCATATAATTCTACGGAAGATTCTGAGACTGGCAGCAGAGGTCTAAGTCCTGAACACTGGATACAGGAAGATCTAGGTCAGCATTCGACAGAAGGATGGGACCAGGACCCCCAAAGAGGGCAATCCTCGAATCATCATCCACAACGCATAGGGCAATCGGGTCTTGCAGAATATAGCGAAAAACGTGATGCAGCAGTATATCCTTGCACATCCAGTGACAATGGGACCGGTGGGGCTGCGAAAGACGGCACATCAACTTGTGGCCAGCAAGGTGCAGCTGAACAGACACCTCGTCAAGGTTTAGTGGACACAGATTCATTGATGATGCAGAAAGCCAAGGGGACGGAAAGTCCGGCATATGGCAGTGGCAAATCACTGTTTTCAGTGTCCCTCAGAGATCTGCTTGAACTGAAGACTAAATTTGTAGAACTTACTGCTGAAGAGAGGATCAAGCTTCATCCTTTTGTGAAGCTTCCACACGTATATCCCGAAGATATCAAGAATGTCTTTGATGGTGTCGGTGCTTTGTCGACTAAAACATCTATGAGCAGTCCAATGCTCGAGTTCATCGCGCTGCGCAAGTTATTTACTAAATCATCGCTGAACTCCGATGACGTAGAACAATTGATGCAGAATTGCAAGGGCTTGATTGCCTATGCGCACAAGAAACTCGCCTCAACGCATCGTAAAACTAGCCCGTTCTACCTTGTACGAAGAATGGCGACAACGTTGATGGTGCTTGACTACCTAGTGAGTGCGATCCAAATCCTAGGAGATAAAATGGATACCCAAAGCTGGTGGCCACAATTCTCACGGCATCTCGCGCCAACACCGAAGATTGAAGTAAAATCCCACTACTCATATGCCAGCGAGTTGATGGCTGACATGGGGAAGAGGTTTGCTGCTGCGCTTGATATCTACAAGGAGGGAAAGCGTCCAGAGCCTGCTGTTGTAGTTGGATTGAAGAGGGAGATCCTCAGCAAATTGAGAACCCATTGCATTTTTGAACATGCTGAGTGGATACAGTGGATACAGGATGATTTGGACTTCCGTCGGTCCCAGGAAAGCAATATCGGCGGACATCAGTCTGCGCGCAGATAGCCAATTCATTCGCCACGTCGGTTGAACACTGCGTTTATGTGGCATCCTTCCATATCCTCTGTTGTTTGCCTACGCGAAACCAGTGTCCGCCAACCGTCATCTTGTGGCACAATGGAGAATTCAATAAGCTCAGGATAGTCGACCACGCATCGAGCCTAATCGCTTGTTTGGGCTGGCCTGCAGTCCACTCACATTCGTAGGAGTGGTGGTAGCACCCGCTAACAAGAGGGGGGAAAATAATATAGATTCATTTTATGACAACGCACCGTTTACGAAAACGGTGCCTAGAGTCCAATAAATTTGCCCTAGAAAGCTTCGAGAGAGACCCTGTAACCTGACTATAAAGGATGATAATCGTCATTAGTTTGTCGCGTGATTTGTACACTATTTAGGTTGCTGTCTCTGCTGTATTAAGCTGTGCTACCAAACTGTTGCTATAGGCTTCGCATTCTCGATAGCATCACCTAATATCTGCCTCCATAGGCACCCGCTTCTGGCAAGAGCTGAGCAGCAACTGGCGCAATCTGCTGCTTGCTCCACCAAGATAGTGATGTTTTCTGATTTTCCAGTTAGTCGGAGATGGCTTCAGCTGCAGGCGTGCCTGCTGCTACTGGTAGCCTTCCACTTCCTGAGTACGTGCGGGCTACCCTGGATGGTGTGTGGCACTGCTTGTGGAATATGCACACCTCTGCCAGCATACATCTACAGTACCAGCGGGGTTCACGGTCGGCTTCTAGGTTCATTTTTTGTCTAGTTACGCACCAGTAGTAGAAAAGAATTGAAACAGGGGAACCCGAGGATCCGTGCAGGCGACAGTTCCGGATAGTAGGCATACGGCCCGGATATGGAGTATTTTAATTCTGATGATTGCTTCGTGCCTGTGTATCGGCTTGGTGCTTACGAACTACAGCCCACAACGGGACATGCGGCGGGGTGAAACCAAAACGGAGATTTAAGGAGGAAAGGTCCGATGTTCTTTGCTCCAACAGAACCACGCCTGGGGTGCCGACTGGCGCAGAGCTTCCAACCAATAGCCCAAGACGGGGTTACCACCTACCAAAAGGCTTGCAACCTTCACGACCCCTCCAACTCGCGTTGCTATGTTGGATCAGCAACGAAGACCCATGGTAAAATGCACAGCTTGATGGCATTTCTGCATTGTGGCGTGATCACACTGCATACCAAACTGCGTCACACACCACCTTGCAGCATCCCCGTTCTGTTCTCCACCAGCACAAGGAATAATTACTTTTCGAGGACGACATGCCAAAGCCTATCAACAAGCACAAAATATACGAAGGGTGAAAGGAATCACTGATGGTGAAAAGGAAAATACACATATTTCTTAATCCGTCTGGCATTTAGAGCCCATTCAACAACGCACGTTGTGCTAAAAAAGCGAGTCCGCAGCAACATCGCACTGCGCACGCGGCGCAACATCAGCTGCTTTCAGCTCTGCCGGACACTTCGTCGTTGCGCATGCAAAAGGTTTGTCTGGATGGCAATCAGGAAGTGCACAAACGCAATCTGCCGTTGCAATTTTTGCCCTGGGTATCAGCACTCAGAACACGACCGGCAGGACTAATGCGTTTGATTATCAGCGGCAAGGCAAGTAGCGTTCGAGAGATTTCGTACAAATTAGTAGGCTTTAAGTTCATGTTGCGCATGTAGGCGCAAACTTGCTTCTTTCGTAAGGTGAGCAGCATAAAATCACAGAGACAGTGAGACGGGCCGCATTCGCAGTATTCCTTTCGGTTAGTCATGTGTTCTGACTAAGATTCTCAGGGGAAGCTTTTAATACAGTGTTTGATGCTGAGTAAGTCGGCAAATCGAATCTTTCTGAGTCCAGAGCCACATACTCCAGGGGATGTGCACCAATTAGAGAAGAATGTAGTGCCGGGATTGTTCGCCTTTGTAGTGTACCCGCTGGGTTTGATTCGGTGTCCTCCTCCCACACGCTAATGGCGTATGATACTACTACCTCTATGCTGTGATCTTCATTTTTGAACAGCACTAGCAAGCAAAATCGCCAGTCGTGGCATCTTTGTATGCCGGGGTGGAGTCATGCTTCCCGTAAACAAGATGTCCAGTTACGCCATCGTTGTAGGCAAAGATGGACTCCTGCTCACCACCTTGTGGTGGTCTCAATTTGCAG